TAGCTCACAGCTGTCATAGCAGGGAAATGTGAATGTATTCCTCGCCTCATAAACAGATAGAAACAGCCTTTGTAACAAAAATAAACGCAGGGAAAGATACGATCAAACATGGGCTCAGTTTCAGGCAGAAAATACTTTTTTTTTTTTTTTTCCTGTTGTGGAGAAAGGTATTATCTGTGTTGGTATTCATTGCAGTGATAAGAAGGATAAGTGCTAACTAACATGGGTCGTAGGTCGCTTTAGGGCAACAAAACAGGGGTGTGTGTGTGTGTGTGTGTGTGTGTGTGTGTGTGTGTGTGTGTGTGTGTGTGTGTGTGTGTGTGTGTGTGTGTGTGTGTGTGTGTGTGTGTGTGTGTGTGTGTGTGTGTGTGTGTGTGTGTGTGTGTGTGTGTGTGTGTGTGTGTGTGTGTGTGTGTGTGTGTGTGTGTGTGTGTGTGTCACAGGCTAGCAAACAATAATAGTCTTAACAGAATCAATAGATACATCTTGTGCTTTATTGCTTTGAGTCAAACCGGCAGGCATTTCTTGACTTTTTATCTCGTTTCCACTGGTGAAGGAAATCAGATCAGCTTCAGACCACACTAGAGACAACCCATAACTTGAGGCAATCAATTAAAATGGCGTGCATTGTGTCAAATATGTCAGAAAGGTCCAACAGAATGAGGACAACACATGACTTAGCTGCTCTAATTTACCCTCAGACCAGATTGCATCTTCCCACAGATCATGTTTTTTACAGATAATGTCCCTCAGTTCTGTTTAAACAACCCATTCTTAAACTTTGCCCCCAAAAAGGTATAATTGAAGTAGGACGGTAGCTACTAAATGACCTAAACTGGCTTTCTCCTGCAGGAGCTTTCACAGTCTTAAAGCTTTTGGTAATATCTCGCACTCTAAGGAGGAGAAGGTATTCAAGAATCTGTCCAAAGATACCTCGAAGAAAGGTGTTGGCAAAAGAGTTCTCATACCGTTTATGTGTCTCTGCCGTTCTTGGGTGAACTGTAAGCTTTGTTAGAAATCATTTGGAGATAACTCAATTTGTATGCAGACAGATATATCTCCGGACAAATGTCCTATCCAGTGAGTTACTTCTAGTGAGTCTTGAAGGCAAACGTTTCCCCCCAAGTTTCAGTCTTTATGCTAAGCTGAGCTAGGTGCAGTTTCACTTTCTCATGAATGTCCGCCTCGCTCCACATAAACCTGCTTATTACACCGCTACATACTAAATAGGCGTGTGTCGCAGTGGGTTGTGCGTTGGTGTTCGGATCAGGGGGTCACAGGTTCAAACCCCACTGTAGTCAGCATGTCGTTGTGTCCCTGAAGACACTTCACCCCAAATTGCTCCTGTGGGGAACAAGTGACATGTAATGTAATAAACCAACTACTTGACTCAGAATATATAATGATTTTATTGATTTGAAAATGGTTGTATTGCTTCCGCTGAAATGACTTAAAATGACGGCAGCACTGATCAAGGTTTTCTTGCCAGTCTTTTCTTTTCAATCAACCAGTCTTTTAACTCTGAGTGTCTGTCTTCTTCTCTGACATCCAGCGCTCTTTTAACCTCTTTACTTCTCTGGGGCTGTTTTGCTTTTCTTTACTATAGTATAGTGACAGTTTTAGCAATCCTGAATCCAAGGTTTTGTTCTCTCCAATCAGCAGAAATAAAAATGAACACTCAAAAAGTAACCCGCAGTGATTTCTGATGGTAAACATCAATGATTGTTGATCACAGCTGGCATAAATGGACCAAACATCTTTCAGCGTATTGATACGACTGCATATAGTCTTTCTTAGCAGCAGTGTGTTAGTGAACAAGAACGTCTGGAATGTCTTAATCGACCAATCATAATCGAGTATTAAACTAAGCCGTGTAATAATATCAATTGAGTACACGATGAAAGAGAAGCAAAGAAAGAGGTGAGAGTGCATGAACTTTTAAATCAGCTGATTCTTTGTTCTTGGTTTGGAGACACATTCCTCTGCTGTAAAAAAAACCCAGATATAAGGTCTCATCCTCTGCTCTGGGCTCATTTTGTCCCTTTTAGTATCCATGTGGATTGTGAGCAGTCACAAGCACGTCTTCACGGGCATTCAAGGGCACAAACATACTTGAGATGCAAACACACTTAGAAACCCGTATTCAGACACACTGAGTGGACGAGGAAGAAAATAGGAGCGTCAGTGTTCTCCGTGATGCCTCAGTTTATTCCATGTATTATTCCATTCGATTTCTCTGTGAATACTGCTATATTTTACTATATTTTTGAACGTTATTATATTTTCTTATAATAGTTCTCTATCTGTGTTTTAGAATTTTTGTTTTACTTTTATGACATCAAGTCAAATTCCTCGTACGTGTCAACCTACCTGGTAACAAACCTGTTTCTGATTCTTCTGTTTCTGATTCTTCTGCTTCTGCTGCCAGCCATGTTGACTGTGAGCTCCAGTTGTTCTCCTGTGCTTCACTGCCTCACTACTGATCTAAAAGAGAGCACGGCGTGACCCTCAGTCATGTGCCGACATAATGTACAATAATGAATTGCTTACACTCGGCATGATTGTGCATTTGAGCTGTTTAATTACAGAAACACAATTTCTTGCAGCCTCAAACGTGTAGACACAGATGTGGAAATATCCAGATGTGCTCCCCGTGGCTGAGAGCTGAAATAAGAATCAGCCGGATGAAGCTCTGATTTCTCCCTGCATTACTGCGGTCCATTCTAACGTTATACTCTTTGTGATGGTCCTGTGTTTTACTCTTCTTCCCTCTGACAGTTTGTGTGAGTACAGTAACCTTGTTAATGAAAAGTCTTTTGCACAGGGGAAAGAAATTCAAGTTGTGTTTCCGATCGAAGCTAACTTAAAGACAAGGTATACACCAACAATGAAACACGTGAGCACATACTACTAAAATCTGAGCTGACAGAAAATGCTCCGTCTTTTTCATACAGTTAAGTTCACATTATTTTATGAACATATCGGTTCACAAGAAGAACAAATGAACCAAAGAAAGTGAAAACCATAAAGCAGATTCAGGCAGTAGGCGAATAGATTCTCACTTAAAGGTGGGGTAGGTAATTCACTTCAGAAACACTTTTTGTTATATTCCTTGGAATGCTCTTAACATCCCGATAGCAATGAATACATTAAATGCTTTGACAATAAATACATAAAAAAATGTTCATCTGTGGAAGCCGTGGCGCTGTAAAAAGCACGACCAATCATCTGAGCCGGCCCGGCTAAAATAACTGGATGGCCTACCTGTCTGTCAGCCTTCCATCTCGTGCACAAACTTATCTTGTGCCCTCATTGGTCATGTGCACGTTCGTGTGTGTTGGAGGAGGGGCTCTGTAAGGAAGTCTGAAGGAAGGGGCAGATTTTTTTCCGGTTGTGTATTTTCAAATTCTAGCGCACTCGAGCTGGTTTCTCCATTCTTACCTACCCTACCTTTAAAGTATTAGCCTACAGAACAGTACAGCTTACAAAGAAGAAATACAAATCTGATTACGTCTATTTTCAAATAACCGTACGTTTATTTTTTCTGTACCCTGATTACGTAGACCCTGTACATGTAGACTAACAAGTTACTCCCAAAGCCTGCTTAACTTGTGCTGCTGTGGGTTGAACCACCAATGCAGCACCTTTCTCTGAAACAGAAGCAGGCAGAGGGTTATCAGAAGCCATTTTGTGAGCCTTTTGGTGAATTCAATAAGGCATCAAGACTTGAGGCACTGACACTAATGCCTGGACAGGGCTGGACTTCAACTGTAAGCAATTTAGCATTTTGTTTTTATTATTCTGGTTTACAATCCACTATTATTTCACCTAATTTGAGGCTGTCAGGTTTTTCTGATGCCCTTCAGAAATTGAAATGTGAATGTAATCACTTTATTTTTCCTTTTTGTAAAGCCATGGAATTGTATGCATAGACAAAGATAATGGGTCGTACAGTCTTAATGAAATAAAAGGTTTATAAAAGATGTTTCATAGATTATATCCCCATTTTTATTTCAGTTTTATTCCACTAAAGAACGCAATCTTGTTCAGTTTGGTATAACACTGCAATATTTCTTGTCTGCTTTTTTATCTTCGACAGTTATATTTATTGTTGCGGGAGCTCAGGTCATTGATGTTTTCACAGACAAAATATCAAATGCATGAAAATCACAACTGTTCCCATGGAAACAGATGCTTTTGGCAATCATGAGAGGAGACCACAGATGTCGGCCGAGGATACGAAAAATAAGGGAATTCCAGCAGTGCAGTGTTCACTACGAGCACTTTGACGCTTTTTGACGGGGGAATTGATTTCCTAATTGAATGTGTTTGAGGATGAAGCAGATGTGGAGGAATTCAGATGGAAAGATATGTGGATGTGAAACATGGAGGAGCCTCTTGGGCTTTCCCCTTTGCAGTAAAAAGCCCTGCAGACATCTCTTTATTGCACAGGCGATGTTTGATGACCACGGAGAAAGTGAGGAAAAAGGGAGGTCAATATAAAGCATGATACATGATTATTCTTTGCACTTAAAGAGGACATATAATGCTCAATTTCAGGTTCATATCTGTATGTTGTGTCTCTACTGTGACATGTCTCCATGCTCTAATGTTCAAAAAGGTCTTTATTTGTCTCATACTGCCTGTGCTGCAGCACCTCTCTTCACCCTCTGTCTGAAACCAGAGCCCAGTCTGCTCTGATTGGTTAGCTGGCCGGCTCTGTTGTGATTGATCAACCGCTTAGAGATGTCCCGCCCCTTAACCTATCACGTACAATGTGTGTGTCGCACTAGCCAATAGAAGCACACGTGTTAATTAGTGATGTCACTATGTTCCTTGAGGAAACAGAGGAGTCCAATCGAATCAGGAGGGGGTGGCGGGGTGGAAGAGAAGCCTTTGCCGACCATTCACATGTATTGTATATTTAACTCTCTTTAACTTTGATTTCCTAATGCTTTCATATCTCTCTTCCATCCTCCTTCCCAACCCTTTCGATGCAGTTCCAACCAAAGCGACCCTTCAGCCACCGTTGGCAAAGTCAGAGATTTGGCGTCTTTCCGCCGCCACTTCCGGATGGGTTTCATGACGATGCCGGCGTCCCAGGACCTGTCCCCTCACTCGTGTGCCTCCGCCATGGCCCCGCGCTCACAGTCCTGCCACGCTGTAGGGGCCGGGGATAGTCTGGAGAACGGAGATGACTCTGACACCCAGTCCCAACATGGCGGACGCTGCCCCCCCACCAAACCCAAGCGTCACCCCAGCACTCGCCTCAGCACCTCGTCCAGCGACGGCAGAGGACTCGGTGACACGCCGCCCCCCTCGTCCTCTCACTCACACAAACACTCAGAGAAGAAGAATTGTAAGAAATGTGTTTCCCGGTGCATTTTTGACATAGTATATTGTTGGGAAAATACTGAATGTACTCTTCCAATATCAGAGTAGCACATGATAACAAAGGTATCCCAACTGTAGCTGTGTACACGACAGGATGTATGATTACCTAGAAGAGCGTCAGGACTGTTTTAGACATATGATAGCTATGTGATTAACAATCTAAACTAAACATTGCATACTGCTTTGAACCGGTATTCCTCCATCTTGTGACTGTGTAACTCCCTCTCTTGTATATCAGCATGTGAAGGACACTGTTCAGGAACTAGTTGTACCAAATGCTCTGTATGTGATGACTACTTCCATTCTTGAGAGGATAATAAATTCATGTATCCTGATTATTGAAGCTCAAGCCGGTGACGAGTGATATTTTTCGAACATAAATGATACATTTTTAATGACCTGTATTTTCTTTCCCCCTACAGCCATGAAGAAATCTGACTCTGGAGACATGGGAGGAAAGAAGGTGCCTCCTTTAAAACCCAAGAGAAGTCCCAGCACCCAGCTCACCTTCGACTCTCTTCCTCCACGTGTGCCTCATTCTGCCGCATCCTTACCTTTCCAGGCAGACTCTCAGATCCAGCCTGGAGACGGGGATGATGAGCCGGTGTATATCGAGATGGTGGGCCAGGTGTTCACCAGAGAAAGCCAGACGGCCACCCCCCACCCTGTCACCCCGGTGGCCACCACTCCTGACTCTGACTCGGACCAGAGTGAGGCCATTTATGAGGAGATGAAATACCCCCAGCACGAGGACAGAGCCTCCCACAGACACCCCTCGTCCAAACATGAGAAAATGAAAAGCTCTAAACACTTCCATGTCACCCCTTCCTCCTCCAGCAGCTCCTCCTCTCTGCCACGCCCTTCCTCTTCCTCTCCTTCCTACTCCAAACCCAAAGCCACCGTGTCCATCTCCCATTCGTCCCCTCTTCCCTCCTCTGCGTCCTCCACCCCCGTCCCCCAGGTCCTCTCCACCAGTCCTCACACTCCTCGAGCTCCCACTCCCTACCTGCTGCAAGGGAGTAAATCCGACAGCGAGTCCAACACAAAGATCCCGGCCCCTTTCCCAAATCTCCTCCAGCACCGGCCCCCGCTGCTTGCCTTCCCTCAGCCAGCGGCAGCCTCAAGTGGTGTTGGGGTGCAACACAAATCGTCCTCTGCTAAAATGGGAACTCAAACATCCAGCGTGACGACCCAAGCCAGCTCCTCCTCGACTTCTTCTATCGTTCCCTCGTCGGGCTCCAAGGAGTCGTCGGGAAGAAGTGAATCGCAGCAGGACAAACACAGCAAGGACTCTCAGCTGGGACCGGCCCCCGGACTGAGAGCCAGGAGTCACTCCACACCCCTGCCTCCCTCCTCCAAGTCCACCTCCCCTTTCTCCCATCACCACCACCACCCTCACCATCGCCCTTCGCACTACCATCACTATCGCAAACCAGAGAGAGGAGATTCCCCCGCTCCGCTGAAGGGCAGCTCTCAGAGCCAGTCCACGGTCCAGACCCAGACCTCGAGTACAGGAAGGGAAGGCAAGTCTGTGAGCTTCCTGTTGAAATCTGACAAAGAAGGGAGGGACAAGGATAGGGATAGGGATAGGGATAGAGACAAAGATAGGGATAGGGATAGAGACCGAGACAAGGATAGGGACAGGGATCGAGATAGAGATAGGGGTAGGGACAGGGACAGGGAAAGAGACAAGGAGAAAGACAGAGATAGGGATAAGGACAGAGAAAGAGATAGAGACAGGGATCGGGTTAGGGACAGGGATCGGGATAGAGACAGGGATCGGGATAGAGACAGGGATCGGGATAGGGATGGAGGCCCATATTCCTTACCGATGGACCACACGATCTCCACGTCTCATAGCAGCTCCAGCTCCACCCCAAAGCCTCTGTCCTCGTCCAAGCGTCCTCACTCTCGCCCCCATCTTCGCTCTCACACTCCTCACGGCCTGCCAGCGTACAAGCCCCCCTCCTCAGACAGCCCTCTGCTGTGGACCTACCCCTCTGGTGGTTTCCGGAGACCACCGGCGTACGAGAGCCTGAGAGGAAGTTCTCACACGCCGTCTCTCCATCAGCCCTCCAGCCTCGAGGGGGCGTTCAAGAGCAACGGAGGCTCTTCGTCCCTCCATTCGAAGGTTGGCTTCATGCCCTGGGACAGCAGTGCCAGCTTAGCAGCAGATGAGGAATCGTACTGGCCTATGCAGAGGAAATTGTCCTTCAGCCATGGGAGCAGAGAGACAGAGAGTACGTCAAGGTTCAAGGCTTTTATTGTCATGTGTACATAGCTACAGTGTAGATATATCAATGAAAATCTTAGGTCACAGGATCCTCCTACAGTGCAACACAATATAACAGATAAAATAGTGCAAGTAAATACAAATAAAATAGGATAGAAATAGTGCAAGGAGAGTCTATATACAAGTAATTGGAATATGATATATTAGATAAATAAATTGTAAGTTGCAAACAGATGTTATGGATGTTCTTTCAAACGTTCAGGTGTTTAACAGTCTTATGGGAGCTTAAATACTCCTTGAAATATTCATTCTGTTTCCTCCCCAATGTCTCAGAGGATGAAGGTCGTGCGTGGAATGGCAGCGCTGATGCCCTCTTACGGATGGATAAAGAGGACATGTGCATAGGGTCTCGAGGAGGACACTCGGGCATCCCAGTGCACTTCAGCTCCAGCAGGGCGCACGCTCACAGCGAGTCTTTGGCTGGCATGGACAGCAGCTCGGGGTTCAGAGCGCTGCCCAGACTCGGCCTGCCTCTTCCCTGCCAGACTTTTCCTGCCTGTCGCAATGGAGGTAATTTAAAGCTCATCTATTATGCAAAATCCACTTCTTCACGTCTCTTCTACATCAACATGTGTCCCCTCTGTGGAAAGAGACTCTGAAAGTTTCAGGAACAAAGATTCTCTCACTTTTTGTCCTGATCTATTTATATAAAAACCTGTCTGAAAATGAGCTGATCAGATTTTGGCCACTTTATGATGTCATAACGATTTTTTGGCTTGTGTAACCATTAGCCAATCACCAACCAAGGTAACCCCCCCCCCCACATTATCACCTGAATCTCCTCCTAGAGCACTATTGTGTTCTTTTTAACCAAATCTCTCTCAGAGGGGCGTGGGGAGGGGCTCCTTATTTTCATCTAAAGTAACAGACAGAGAATCAGCACTTTGGAAACAGGGCTGAAACAGAGGGGATTATGGGATGCTGCAATGTTCTGTTTGGTATTTGGAGCCAAACACTTCAGAGACATGTTTGTATATATATGAGACCTTTAATATATTGATGAAAAACAGTATAATAGGGGACCTTTAACTTAGTGTTCATAATCTTCTCGTCATAGCCTCTAACCACACCATCCCGTTTAGAGAGGAACTAGCAGTGGGTGAATATGGGGAATCTTCTGCTAGCTCTGTTGTTGCTCAGCTCTTAAACTTGTGAGAATCAGAGAAAACCTTCCTCTCCTCCGACTAACAGCTCAATGCATCCTCTTGTACTGAAGTTAGCCTTGAAGCTTGTTTTCTCTTTGTCAGTCTATTTGCATTTTAACTCAAGGCCTTCCCTAGAAACAGAGAGGCGCTGCTAAACTTGAAAATCAGTGCAATACTTAACTTGAAGCGTGCCAACATCTCTGCATACATACATTAATGACCCCCAGTCCCATTTAATAGAGTTTATAATGTACGACAAACCAGGTTGTTAAAAACACTTTATAATTGAATTCAGTTTAGTATGGGCTAATGGATTGTACAGATATCACCTGATGAATTAAAGGGAACTGGTCAGAGTGCAAACATCACCCAAGCTACCTGTAATCAACTTTATAACGGTATAACCATTTTCCCTTGTGCTACATTTATTTTGTAACAGTGCAAATATATCTGTAGAAAACTGAAGCATCATCATATTCTGAATAACACCAAATTATGGAAATGACAGATTAGGATCACTAACATTGTTTACATTTCACATAGCTGTAATAGAAATCTGTATACAAGAAAATATGAGATATACAGAAAACAGTTAAACATCGAAATGTAGTAAACACAACTCTGTAATGTGCCTATTGTTCAATAGTATAAGGATAGTTTATACTTGTCTTGTAACTAAAGGAGCATGATGTACAACATATCTGTCTCATGACACAGTTGTAGTTAGAATTTCACACCTCTACTTATTATAATGACAAGTTTTATTCCTGCTCTCATTAGCAGGCACACAGAGTAATGTTTGTTTCTTTGCAGAAGTGGGGCGGCTGGGCCGCTCCTCCTCTTCTGCTGGAGTGAGACAGGTGGGTGGAGGAGACGTCCAGAGACAGAGCAGCCTACCAGCTCGAGAAGCCCTGAATCAGGTTAATATACAACACCCAGCCGTATAAATATAGACTCTATTCAATGTAACCATGGTAGATTTGGGAGTGAACATTAATATTGGTCTCATTATTACTTCCCCTTCAGCTAGAGACAGTGCTCCTGCAGATCTATTTATAGCTGCTAGATATGCCCACTGAGCAGAATAAGGCTCAGGCCTGCCTCAGAATGATCAGAGCTGCAAAGGTATCTGACGCAGGCGGATATGTAGTCAGAAAATGGGAGAGAATAGAGGATTCGAGAAAATGCTGTACTGTGTTTTGGAGTGATGAGCTGCAGTCTTCCAGCAGCACATTTTGCCCAGATTCTAGCTGCATAGCAAGTGCTGACGCAGTTTGAGTGTGCTGCAGAGACGGTCTTCATGCGGCTGGCTGACCCTCCTTCAACCTGTGATAGATGAAGCAGCGCTGCATTCTCCTGGCTGTCCACAGGAACTGCAGTTGTATTCAACATGTGCTAGGATTGTCTGCAGTGAGCATGCATTTGTATTCATGAAATCCAACATAAATTCACTCTACTTCTTTCCAATTCATCCAGCTCCACGGTCTGGCCCAGCCTCAAGTGCCCTGCAGTCCGGGCGTGTCTCGGCAGCAGCAGCAGCTCCAGCTCCACCAGCAGCAGCTGCAGTTGAAGCAGAAGCTCCAGCAGCTCCAGCAGCAGCACCACCTTCAGCTGCAGTTCCAGCAGCTCGCCCAGCTGGCTCAGGGACACCCTCCTGTGGGCGGGGGCTCCTCCACCTCCGCCTCGCAGAGCCAGAGAGACGGCAAGCTGCTGGAAGTCATTGAGCGTAAACGCTGCCTGTGCAAAGAGATCAAGGCCCACAGGCGCCCTGACAAAAGCCTGTGCAAGCAGGACAGCATGCCCATCCTCCCTAGCTGGAGACGGACACCTGAGCCCCGTAAGACTGGCACGCCGCCCTGCCAGAGGCCGCAGGCCGTAGTTTGGGACACAGCGATCTGAGGGGGATAGACAGGGCTGCTAGTACAGCTCTAAAGAGACTCAACACACACATGAGGTGAAGATGAGGAGCAGTTCATAAGAACGGAGAGTCAAATGGGTTTAGGATCAAGATCATTCTTGCTTTTATTGTGAGATAAACTGAACAGTAACGTAGATTACTGGAAACTATGAACTCATTTGGGGGGGGGAGAGGCTGATCAAAGAGGTGAGGAAATGAAGTATTACAATCAGACTAAATGAATCTCTTACCCGGGTGATTTGTACTTGCTCTGTGTCCTTGATGTGTTCTAATTGCCAATGCTTTGTTGCCACAAAACGCCAGTGTTATTGCCACAAAATGAAGACGCCAATTCAATAATGGTTGGGTTGTTTTCTTAGATTGGTGTTGCCAAATTTCCTGCTGACTACTTGAGACATAAATGAATAATATATTTTCTCCAACACACAGTTGTCCAAACTTGCATAGAAACTGCTCTGTGGGCGAGAAAAGGCAAGACTCATTGACAAGTTGTTGAAGTGTTTCTTGAAGTCGTGAATGCATATGAGATGTATTGGTATCAATAGATTGTCATTGTGGATGCAAATAATCATCACGAGGAGTAAAAGCTACCTACTGTATCTGTTTGCATATTTGTAATGTAAATCTATTTACTTTCTCAACGTTTCTGCAATTTTATAGCAATATGCTCCAGATGCCGGAGCAACATAATTAAAAACTTGTCAACTAGCCTAACATACATATCTAAAGACTTGAAAAGTCATATTTACTGTGTCATTCTCTGCATGTCACGATAGACATATAGTATTGTAAAAGACTATGTGTAGAGATGATCATGTCAGACTTTTACATACAGCAGATCTTCACTATGATAACATGTGGTTGTATAAAAAGATGAATATATATCGCCCGGGGTCGTTAGAGAGGGCGGTGCGACAGATGGCACATACTGTGCAGTCCAGCCAAATATAGATACAGATCAATGATACAACAAATCTTCATCACTCATGCTTATCCACAGTTGCACATTAGTGATTGTTCCACCACACAGCACTGACACCCATTTACACTGACTGTACGATACGGTGCAACTGATAAGACTGTGACTATTGATCACCTCGAACAGAATGCTGGAACAATCTGCACAAAACATGGTATACGCTTAGGAGAAATTAAACCCTAATGTAATGTAAATAGATATGTACAACTGTATTGAAAATGTAGCAATTATTTCCATTTTCATACTTGTAATCAATACATATTATGTAGCATATACTGTATAAACATAACTTTGTTCACTTGTTTTTTTCTAAAAGAATTAAGTACTTTATCTGCTGCAGCCAGTCCATGCATTACCTATAGTTCTACTACTAATAAACAGTAAGCCCTCTAAAGAAAGGCACAGTCCAACAGTTGTTTATTTAAATTTATGCAAGACTCCCTTTAAGATGTGTTTTATTTACACCCTTTTTTTCTACATCCACTTTCATTTGTGTACAGATTTCAACGGCTCGATGTCTTGACATTTTGAATACTTTGCTGCTATCTTGAACTACTGGTGTTCATTCAACAGAAACATTATTTATATCGTGCTTAATGTTACATATTTGTTTTTATTTCTGAAAGCCACGTGAACTGAAGTTTGTACCTTGAAGAGTGAGCCCTTCTGTAATAGTATTAAGGCACTTGAATGTCTCTTGGTTGTTGTCGTTTTTATGATAGTTATAGCACCAAGCTGTACAGTTACAGTGCACCCCGTGAAAAGAAGACCTATCTAAATGTTTGAGAGTCACTGCTTGGCCTTTTTGTTTGATTTCCCACCTGCTCGTGTTTGAGGGTCCAGGTTTTTCAAGCTTTTACTGAGTCCATTTTTTAAACAAACACAGGTGAGGTTGAAGGAAATGGGCAAGTGCAATGCATGCAGAGATTCCTTACACTGAAAATGTCCCAATGATACTGACTATATGTGCCCAATTTAATTCCAGATACCAAGTAAATCACCTTCTCACAGACTGACATGGAACCCTAGGTATCATTTCCAAAAATAGTTTACAGAAGCTGTTGGTTTTGTGTGTCTTCTAAAACAGTGGCCATTATACGAGTGCCATACTATATTGATATGGTAAGATACGGTGTACCTTGGAAATCACTGTAGTGCTATATTTGCATTGATATTGTCATTAAAAATAAATTTTATATAATGAACTTTACACAACAAACAGGATCTGTGCATGTTTTCATGCCTCGTGGTGTTTCACAGTGGCGATGTTGGGGAAGTGGACATGATGTTCCCACTGCACTTCTGCAGCTGGTGTTGCATCTCCCTCCGTGTCCATGTGGGGGCGCTATAGTCACTCTACCCTACTTTTAGCCGGCTCATGCATAATCTGCTGCAAGATAGCACTCAGAAACAGATGCTGCATACCATCCATCAAATCTTAACCAACCTCTATAGTTTTTTTAAATTGCATACTAAGGGTGTAATGTGTTATTATAATGCAAAAAGTGAGGTTGAATGCAACTCTTATACATGTAGCTTTAAGTATGCAGCTAATGCTAACATGTAGCCTTGCTGCATAGGCTATGTGAAGGCATTTTGCTGTCATTATTTCACTATTATGAGTTTTTTTTAAAAGCTACTCAAAATCCAATATTGAGGTACAGTTTGAATTATATATAATTATCTTTCAAAGCTTATTTCTCACAAATTGTGACAATGAAGGAAAGAAAACCCTCTGGCAGGCTGCTATGAAATCTGACCCAGCTAGATGTGGTAATATGACATAATTAATAGAGTCCTTGTTTGATAACAATGCAACAATAGGGAATTCAATGTATCATGGACACTTCAGAGTCCTTTGGGGAATATCAGAGGGATGTGGGTTTTTATCTTCGGGGACATGACGATGGAGGCCTCACATCCAATAAACGGATGCCTTCAGACACCACGCGATGGGCTCTGACCGGTTGTCTGTCATGCTTCGGGCCCGCGAGGGGGGGTCGGCTGTTCAGGGCAGATGATTGGTCAGGGAGGAGAAGGAAGAGGAGGGGGAGGGGGAAGATCTGCCGGTGGGGGGATGGAGAGGGTGGGGGTGCTGTAGAAAGAGGCGGAGGGAGAGCTTTACCGCAGTATCGCTAGATTTCTGCACCACTCATCAAAACTCTGCGGCATGCAGACAAGAGCTGGGGGGGAGGGCATATTCTAGGTCTGTGCTGGAGTGTATAGGACCGCTTTCTCTTACTGTTACCATCCATCTTTCTGCTCTCAGATAGACCACAGTAGCGTGTTTGCCTTGATTTCCATTCATTTCGTGCGCTGTTTAATTGCTTCTCATATAGCCTCGGTGCTTCTCTGCTTAATTGCTAACAACCCGCCGCTTTATTGCATTAGGCCGCGTTTATTCACAGCTTTGGGATCCAAACTTGTATGACAAAATGGCAAAGGATGGAGACAACGGGTGGAAGGAGTATGTATGGAACCCGAGGACGAGGGAGTTCCTGGGCAGGACGGCCAGCAGCTGGGGTGAGTACTGTCCGGTTCAGCAATGCAGCAAACACGGTCCCTGGGCTCCGTAACAGTTCTTAGTCAGAGTCTCTAAAGCCTTTTCTTAAGCTACAACAGGGGACTCCTTCAGAAATGAAAATGTGTTACTGTAATTGTAATATCAATTTCACCCAAGTTATTTCCCCCCAAGGTAATGAGTTGTCTGTCGCTGTCCACTAATGCCTGGTGCTGGAATCTGAATGCGGCATAATGTGGAAGCCGGTGCAGGAAAAAAACCTTCCTGCCTGGCTTCTGTCTTTATTTATTAATTTATGGCACAGCTTTCGCTGCGCAATGCGCCCATCATAGGGGTGGGGAGGCATATGCACTTATTTCACATTTTGAATTAGCCAGATTACTGCAGCACTGCTGAAACAGGTCCCACTCTGTTGCAAAGTGCACACCATCAGCTGCTTCTCCCTTAGGAAGCAACAAGACAGCCTTAGCCAGCTTTATTGTGAATTCTGCTGCGGATAATACTTTCTTTCACAGGGAGATGGGGTTGCTGAAGTTAAAGAAGGTTTGCACGCCTGCAGTTTTATCTAATGAGCCTTCAACATGATGTCATTCATTTTTCAGGCTTCTCCCCCCCCCCCCCCCCCCCCCAGTGATTTTGAAAGGAAGATCCAACACACTGCCACACTCACTGTCCTCCTTTCTGCAACAAGCAGCCTGCATCTTTTTCAAAGATTCATGAAACGATAGGGCGCATATGGCTCAGTTCTAATGACATTGGAGCGTTTTAATCTGGGTAAAGCCGAGGGCCAAAAGCTATTTGTATCACCTCCAGGCCGGCCCCTCCCAGTGACTGTAAATCAGGGAGGAATTTAATCCTAATCTAATGACTTCATCGGCTGATGGGGAAGGTATCAATTCACGGGGTAGGATATCAAAGTAAACCACTTTCAGGAATTTAAATCATTTTTTTTAACACTGGGAATCAACGGCACTTTAGTTTAGTGCTTGTGGTTGGAATAAAGGGATTTTACTCGCAGTGGTATTCTGGTTGTGAGTGGACATTGTACGTTGAGTGCTTGTGTTAGGAATCACCGACTGTAGCTTCCTCTGCTGAAATCCTCCCGCAGTGTACAGCTTAATCCAGCTCAGTGCGTCCCAGGTGCATTGAGGTCTGGTGGCCTTTTTAAGCTGTGCTCTCTAAGGCTTGTTAATTAGGCTATTTCTGTAGTCAGCCACTACTTGTGCTAAACTTGGCATTTCGCCCTTCCTCATTCTCTTTACGGTGCATTCACCTACTGTACCTACACCTTTCTGACTTCATTGCAGCCAATATATCAAATTGACATTTACTTTTCTCAACATGCATTGAGAAAATAGGCAAGATAACACTAGTCAGGTCGCCAGTCTCTTTTAAAAGGCAAATGTGTTGTTCCCACTCGTAATTATATGCAGTATAATGTAGGTGCAGAGCATCAGATCAAAGGCTTCTTTGAGGATGAAACACAGATTTGTGTTCTGCTTTGTGTAAAGAGCTGTAATCATATGGAAATAGCCTTGCTAAAACTGTGCACTCCTGCATTTAGATATTACACTGCCACTAGCTGACATTAGGCAAACATGGCTGCTTTGATTTAAAACAGGACTAATGAAGTGTTCTGCACCTCCCACTTCCAGAAACAACAGAAAGGCTTTCACTGTAGGAGCCTTGAAGGAGCCTTATGGGAAACAGAGCCATGGTGCTGTGTAAGATGGCTGACTATAATACAAGATTATAAAAAGATTGACATTAAAAGATCCACTGCGCTAAGCTATTTATTCCATCTCCAGAGCATTTCATTGATCTGTTTGATCACCAATTTACAAAGCTGTGGCCCTCTAATTAATTCTGAAAGGAAAGAGACACCTCCTGCCATTAATGCTGAATAAAGGACAGGCTGCTGAGCCAACCGGCCCGGCGTTTTGTTCTTTGCTTTCAACTGCCGTCTGCAAACACAAAACCGGGGTGAAAGAGAGATGCTTCAGCGTCCATCATCACTGGGACTCAGAGGGCAGACATGAGAACATAACACCCTCTTTGCCAGGGGGAAAGCCACCCTGCCTGCACGATGACCCCCATTTGCACGCCTGCGCATCCACTCTCCCCCGGGTGGGGTCATATTCACAGTTCGCACAACATCCCCTCTGGGTGACCGGTGAAAAAACCACTTAAACACTTTGTTTTGTCACGTCGTAGCTCTGATGCTACTCTCTCTCCCCGCTGAAGTGCCTCAGGCTTGGTCCGGGGCCTCTGTTTATTTGTAATGACTCCGCTTGGTTCTTTTCCATGTGACAGACGGGAAGGCTCACTCTCGCCTCTTCTTTTACTTTCAATTTGAGTAATTCCAGGAACAATAGGATAGTAAAACACACACACACACACTAGCTGTAAATCATCCTCTGTAATGGCCCCCGTGGAGCAGCTTCCCCCTTGACATTTTGTTATGGATTCCTGTGAGCCTGGCTGTTTGGGAGGCAGATGCCGACCCGCTGACAGGCAGTGAGCTCCACGCTGGGGGCCGTCCAGCAGAGGCTCCGGGGTCGAGAACACAACGCAGGGCCTCAGGTGTCGATGCTTTAAAACGAAGGATGTGTCATAGAGAAAAGAGCTATTTATGTTTTCCTGCTCTCTGTGCAGACCGAAATGCCTGAGGTGGGAGCACACAGCTGCTTCAAACGTATTTCCATGAAGGAAACATCACATCCATAGAGGAGTCATCGAACAATACACCATTTACAGAGTGTTTTAGACAAGTCATTTAAGCCTTACTATTCAGAACAACAATAAGCTTTCTCTTTAGATGAGAAAAAGCGTCATGCAAATAGAATAAAAAAGTGCTTTTGGACTGTGGATCAAACAGGCAATCAAGAAATGTCACCTGATGAATAATCAGAAAGGATTAGACAGATAAATAAAATATGAGAAAAACAATGATTAGTGGCAGCCCTACTTTCTTTCTAATGTAACATTATCTCTATAGGCTTCTTACATGAAATAGGCCCGAGGCTATGATGGCATGTAATCTCCTGACCCTGCGGACCGGTCTCCAGGGGGTCCTTGTCCTCCTCCTCCTGTATCCCCCTCTGTCATCACACCGCCCCCCTCCTCGTGGACAGGGAAACTCTATAATGAAATCGATCATTTTCATCTTGCTTTAATGGATGCAAATATGTGAGGAAAGCAACCCAAAGAGATTGTGTTTTTTTCACCAATGAAATGACTCCCTTTATGCCAATGTTCCACCATTAATGTCCTTTTAAGCACCTAAAGGACTCATGTGTGAGTGGGATAGAGAGAGACAGATGGAACGAAGCGATGCCGGTTTAATGAGGATTAACTTGCCTCCTGTGACCATTAGCTGTCAGAAAGCGACCACACAGACACAACGCAGAGGAGACATTTAATTACAATCTACTCACATGTAAGATTAGTCTTAGTTCATGCGGTATTATGAATTAATGATCAGATGCTCGGCAGTTGCCAATGTCGAATGTAGCTTTTCTTTCTTGAATCAAATCGAAACCCTCTTACAGTAATCCACTGCCACCTGCACAGCGAGGGTATTGTGAGGAATACAAGTCCAGATACAGCAGTTACTGTCACAGATGGAATAGTCATAGTTTTTATTCCATAATGCATAATAAAGGCTTGGTCTTCATGTAGCTGAAGACTCACACTAAAACTTACATTATAAACAACATTATATTATGTTTAGACATGGTGCAATTATTCAATTAGCTAACAATTGAATTCCTCCTGAAAATGAAAAAAATGTACAGACTGAAATAAGGTACATGATTGAATGAAATGGTTATGTCTCACTGATAGTGCATACGACTAACACAACTCTCCTTTCTCTCTTTGTCTGCAGGTCTTATTCTTCTCTTCTATTTAGTTTTCTACATCTTCCTGGCCGGCATGTTTTGCCTCACCATGTACGTCATGCTGCAGACCTTGGACGACCACAAGCCGAAATGGCAGGACAGGCTCTCCACGCCAGGTGCGCTAAATTAATGATCCTGTCCTGATCCTCCTTTTGTGATCACAGTCCAGTGTCTCCGTGTCCTGACCCCATCACCTCTGTCTCTCACAGGTATGGTGATTAGACCCAAAGGAGATGAGTACTACGAGATCAAATACAGCACCCAGAACACCGAGAGCTGGGACATGTACGCTCAGACTTTGGAAAAGTTCCTGTCACGTAAGTCTGGCCTCTTCACCTCTCAAAGCTTACTGTGGATTATCCAGCTATCTCGCATGAATTGTATTTTACCCGATAAGAGATTATTCCTTTACAGTGGGTTGGAGATTGCCTTTGGTTTTAGTCAGTGGTTGAAGTACTCTACATATGTATCATTGCAGACTGAAACCCCACTGTTTCACTTGTGCCTTGGCCATTAAAAAAGAAATAAAATATCACTTAAAGAGTTTAGCCCAATTGAAACTAATGCACCAGCACTAACAATGACTTTGCTTATTTCAAAATGCACATGCACTTTTCTTGTTGTTATGATCTTTAGGCTTTATTGCACTTATTCTAAGTGCACTTATTGTAAGTGGCTTCGGATAAAAGCAGTGTAAAAATACTCAAGTACAGGTCAAAGTACTGCATTAAGAATGGTACATAAGTAGAACAAGTATTTAAAGGTGGGGTAGGTAAGTTTGAGAAACCGGCTCGAGATCGCTAGAATTTGAAAATACACAACCGGAGAAAATCTGCCACTTCCTTACAGAGCCCCTCCTCCAACACACACGACCAATGAGGGCATGAGATAAGTTTGTGCACAGATGGAAGGCTGACAGGCAGGTAGGCCATCCAGTTATTTTAGCCGGGCCGGCTCAAATGATTGGTCGTGCTTTTTACAGTACTACGGCTTCCACAGATGACATTTTTTAATGGATTTTTTGTCAAAGCACTTAAGATATTCATTGCTATCGGGATGTTAAGAGCATTCCATGGAATATAACAAAAAGTGTATCTCGAGCCGGTTTCTCAAACTTACCTACCATACCTTTAAGTGATTGTCAAAATGTACTGAAAGTAATAGCAGAAAAAAACATTGAGGTAGTTAAAAGGGTTAGCAGCACATCTGAGGAGCTGGAACTGTAACATGTCTTCATACTCTTTGTTTTTGGTTAATTTCCATCAAAACATCATTTTTTTAAAGTTGTGTGTTGTGCAAATCTAAATCTATGAAGTAATAACGCTTCAAAGTAAATGTGATGAGGTAAAAAGTACGATATTTCCCGTTGAATGGTAGTGGAAAAGAACTATAAAGCGGCACAGAACGTGAACACTAAATCAGCTCGTATGCTATATAGGTTAGCACTTCCGGTGTTTCCATAGAAACACCGGAAGTGTCCACGCAGATAAATGTGTCCGTGTATCGTTTGAATGCAGTTTTACACACAGAATAACCCCCCCCCCCCCCCCCCCTGCTGCCTTACAGCCTACAACAACACGGCCCAGGTGGAGAAGAACAACGAGTGCAAACCGGACGCGTACTTCCAGCAGGAGGATAGCGGCGAAGTGAAGAACAACCCCAAGCGCTCGTGTCAGTTCAACCGCACCATCCTCGAGGACTGCTCTGGAATCACTGACCGTCACTATGGATACCGGGATGGCAAGCCGTGCATCATCATCAAGCTAAACCGGGTAAGAAGGAGGGCAGGAGGGGGGAGGGGTGCTGTTGCTAGGAGACATGGAGACAGTGATAATGAAACTGGTTTGATAAAAATAGGGCAGAAAGGCGATCCGAGTAAGAATAAAGAAAGCCAGTATTAAGATTAGCAGAGATTAATCCACGCATCCATGATGTCATCAAATTAAATCCTATGGAGGAATAATGTTTTGTGACAGATGTGACCTTTTAAAATAAAGTAGATAAACAGTAATATAAACATTATGAAGTTATTGTAAAATTGTTCAATAAAAGTCCTATTTGAATGATTTAATAATCGTTTATTTGTCATGCATTCATTTGAGAAAAGGCTGTATTTATGGAGATTTCTTGCTTTTTTTTACATAACATTAAAACTGAAATTGACATTTAAGCTTTTTTTTTCTAGGAACTAACCAAAAAATAATCTGCAAATATTTTGATGATGAATCGTTCATATTTCATGCACAAATCTCAATTTGTAATCCTTTTGCTTTGGATTTAAGGCAGATGATAAAGTACATAAAAAGCAGTAAAATGCTGTTTTTCTCCCTCTCAGTATGGAGATTTCTTAATTAAAAAAAATATATAATTTAAAAGTGGATATCTGGGTATTTGGAAGACATTTAAAGAGATCACTTCAGACTGTTCTGGGCATTTCACCAATTTTCTCAGATTGACCAAACTAGTAATCCTGTCAATAATGAGCAGATACATTGATTATGAAAATACTAATTAGTTACAGCCATATCGATTATAGTCATTGGTTATTGCACGTTCTGGCAATTGGAACGTGATTGTGTGTTTAAATGAGAGCACATTGCGGACGGTGCTGGAGACTTCTTGTGTTTCTGTCTCTCCAGGTGATCGGGATGCTGCCAGGAAAAGATGGACAGGCTCCGTTTGTCACCTGTGGCCCAAAGGTAATCCCTTTTTAGTCCTTCCACAATGAAAGGCTTCACACAGCAATTTGGATTTCAGCCCAGTCGTGGCTATTGTCCCTCCCTCTCATCTGCAATATGCCACCAATCACTCATCATCTCCATTCCCTTTAATGTCCTGTATCGCTTCAACTATCATATCTGTACTGCATGCCATTTTGTCATTCACACCACTTGTGCGCTGTCCCTCCTCTCTTTTCCATTAATGTGCTCACTCTCAGAGATACAAAATTGGCAAAAATGAATGGGTAAGAACGGGATGTGACCTCGATTACAGATTTTAGATTAAAACATTAATAGTAGTAGTGAAGATGCTAGATGTGTGTATATCAAGATAATGTGTTTGTTTTAGATTTACAGAAGGATATAGATTAGGCTCACCTTTTCCTCTCCTAATTATATGTTGTGATGCATAAAGTGGCTGCATCTCATGACGTTGTTTCACCCCCACAGAAAGAAGACTCTGAAAAGATTGGCGAGTTGCAGTACTTCCCTCCCAATGGCACTTTCAACCTTATGTACTACCCTTACTATGGCAAGAAAGCTCAGGTAAGATCACGTCAGAAATCCATACTTGGTACATTTTGCCCAGGGTTGGCAGGGTTACTTTAAAATTGTATTCTGTAACACTTACTAGTTGTATTACTTCAATATCAAATGTAATGCAACAACAGAACAATGTGACCTTAGAAAAGAAGAAACCAAGATATTTAGAATAAAAAAAAAGTGTATTTATAGGAAAACCTGTCTTTCATGAAGCATATTCAGGCAGTACACCAACAATGAAACACATGAGCACATACTACAGTTTAAAGAAATCTGTTTATTAAACAAATACAATCTGAGCTGACAAAAAATGCTCCGTTTTAGTTGAATACACAGTTAAACTCACAGACACTATTTTATGAACATATAGGTTCACCTGCTGAATAAAAAAAAAGGAAAATTGAACCATAAAGCAGATTAAGGCAGTAGGCGTATGGATTCACACGTAAAGAATTAGCCTACAGAACAGTACAGTTTACAGAGAAGAAGAAATCAAATCTGACCCTTTCACAACAAACAATAAGTCTTTTTTTATGCAACTGTAAGGGGGAACACTTACTCTTTGTCGTATCCTGATTACGTAATCCCGTTACATGTAATCCGTTACTCCCCGAGCCTTCTTTACTGTAGCTGTCATCTAAAGCCGGCTCCTTTGAGATGAATCAGACATCCAGTGCTGTGTTTAAATACGCCCCTTGGCTCTGTTTCTGCAGGTGAACTACTCCCAGCCTTTAGTTGCCGTCAAGTTCCTCAACATCACTACCAATGAAGACGTCAACATCGAGTGTAGGATCAACGCCAACAACATTCCCACTGGAAGTGAAAGAGACAAGTGGGCCGGAAGAGTGTCTTTCAAGCTGAGGATCAACACTATATAGGTTGACCTTTTTTTGTTTCTCTCCTGAAAAACCACTTTCTTCATTTTCTGCAACATTGCAAATACACAGAAACAAATCTCAGTATTCACACCCTTTGTAGAATTTGTTTACAACCCCTTCCTCCCTCCCCAAAAACAACTTTTGGGCGGGGAAATTGTTTGTCCAGTATTGTGATGAGATGGGGCGAGAATAAAAGGGTGGTAATCCTGTCATTATTTCTGTCTGTGAGCTTTGGGATGAATTCTTTTCTGTACATTAGTTTGAGGTGACGTCTATTTATACTGCATGACAAACTAGGGGATGTAAAGAATGTGAACATGTGTTTTCAAAGTTTGCAAAGGATCAGCAACATTAACACTTTACTGCTGCTCCCCTCCTGCTGCCTCCTTATAGAGTACCCCTCTATATACCAATATACACAAATTACAATACAAAATGTGTATATCTACAGTATTTATACGGTATCATAACCTTATATTAGTACGTCTATTTTGTTGCACTTAAAAGAATAATCCAACAGACTCGCGTATATCGGGTGGATGCAGAGATGAAGCCATTTTGCATGTGTGTATTGTCTTAAGTGTGCTACGAGGGCAGGAGGCCCCTACGTCTCACCACCTCTCTGCTAAGTGTGAACTAAGGTTAAAAAAAAAAAAACACCAACCACCAGGAGGGGCCACACTGTAATCTACTAAACCCTTACACACAGCAAGTGTGTGTTTCGCTAACAACATACTGTAAGATACGCATCTCCAACATAAAAAGACAAATGGAGTTACAGGAGAGGTTAAAACCTTTAAGAGTGCGTGTGTTTGTGCATGTGTGTGCGTGTGTGTGTGTGTGTGTGTGTGTGTGTGTGTGCTCCATTCACGGGTCCCATTTCATACTGTAGGTCGGGAAGTTGCATGCAATGTGCAATATTCATTAAGTGACATACATTATGAATGCTTGAGTCCATTCTACGGATGAGAGGACGTGTGTTCACGTTTGTGTCGCTTGGAGCGTTCATATTAACCACGAAAGGAGACATCGATGTTTCACATGTCTTACAGCATCCTCGTAGTTTGACAAAAAACTAACAATCCCTCCGATCCGACCACCTGAATATCAAATGAAATCACATCAACACATTCCTTTATCATCATTTTATTCCTAAAGCTAAACCAAGAGCCATTTTATTGTGTCTCTATTTTGAATTTGAATATTTAGAAAGGTCTTTTTTTTGTGCGTGTATTGCATCTATTTCATATGTATCAGAAATAGATGCGATTGTCATATTTTGTATTGATTTACACTGCAAGTGTGCTTTGAATTAATTGTTGTACAGTTTTGGAGGATGTAGAAGTTTGTGTTTTGTTCCCTTTTTTCTTTCAATTACACCCATTATCATCCTCTAAAATATCATCCAGGGTATCGAAATGTATAGTTTACAAATTCCTTTAATGGTGACTAGAGTCTTGAATAATATGTGAGTTGGTAGTTTTGTTTTATAGTCCTGTAGGGAAATGGACACACTGGAGATCTCCTTCCTAGAGGGGGATACTTTTTCATTTTATTTGTCGCCCCCCCCCCCCCCCCCACTGCTGTATGAATCAGTCTGATGGCATAATGAGACGACCAGTTTATAAACCAACATGTTGGAAAAGCATAGATGAAGCCTGAATATGGTGCTGCTTACTCGACGTGCATTCATTCAGTGTGCAGTAAAGGCTATTGTAAGAGACACCTGCAAATGTTGGCGGGCTAAATCCGTGCAGTCACGCTTTGAAATTCGGTCACTTTAATTTGGCTACAGATTGCAGCAATCCTGCAAATGTGGAACGGGCATCTGTTCACTCACATTAAGGCCTGGCTCCACTCCACATCTCCTCTCAGAGCAATGTGTTCCTCTCGTAAATATCTCTGGAATGCATTATATAAAAGACACAGATCTGTTATTGTCTGAAAGGTTATTTATAATGAAGGGTGTGCACCAACACTCAGCTGAGGCTCTCTTTTCTCTGACTGTCCACTGACATGTAGTTCTCCTCTGGCATTCCTGCTACACTTACTTAATTTCACTGTAATCTCTTAATCTGGTTAGCTAATCCGGAGCAGGCACGCTCAACTTCTTTACCCTACTTTGTCGCTCCTCCCCCTCATGTCAAAGGATTCTGCAACATTTTGTGTCAATTCAATCTCTATTTTACCCCCAATCATTCTTAAATTGATCAAAAATAAATGCGTCATTGCTGATTTGGACATTGTGTTTTTACTCATGTGCATGTGAAGATTAGCTCTTCAACCAAAGATCTTCATCAAAATTTGATTTATTTGCAATCACACATCCTCTGCAGAGATAGGGGTTCAGGTGGAGGGATTAACACCCCGTGTAATATAATAAAAGCCTGCTCTTATATCATAATATTAAGAATAATAATAATAGTAATATGCACAAAAGCAACGTGTCTCACTGCAACATAACAGTGCCTCCTGGTGGACAGACAGTGATGTCCCCCAGTGTCACAGAATGTTATTTCCTGTTATCTCCATGTATGTTTCTTTTCTTCCTCTGTGATAATTTGGAGATGTCCTCAAAAAGCAATATGTATTTCTTGTGCGGATGTATTTATTGGAAAGGCTCATGAAAAGCGAAGAAGAAGAAGAAGAATAGGATGTTGCAGTCAGGCCGTTTTGCCAGCATGCAGTATGGTGATGGAATATTACAAACAAAGTGTTGTTTTATTTATAAGAAAAGAGTATTTTTATCGCTATTTTGTTGTAAAGAGGAGAGAATGTATAAACTTGGATTGTATCATGTCGTGGGAGCTATACCTGCATTTAATCCAACGAACGGGGAAATGTTAACAACTTGGATGGAAAAGTGTTTGGTTTTTTTAATATAGGAAAATGTTTTGTCATGGCTTGAGTCCTTTCTAAATTAAATTGAGATCATTGTTTGCAAATGGAAGTTTTCTGAAACTAAGTGTTCAGACATTAAAGGGAAAACATCAGAAAAGCCTTCAGAGAACTTTCAAGTGCAAACCAGAAACTCTTCAGAACAAAACTGCAACCCGGTCCAACGCAAATGTCAGAGAGAATCAACTACTTTCAAAGAAGGAGTTATTATATCAACCCCCCCCCCCCCCCCGCTTCCCAAACCCCTCGTCTTAAATCGTACTTTTGCCTAAGACTGTGGTGTAGGTATTTCATGAAATTTGTCGAGACACTCTCGCCCCAAAAAGGATGATAATTATATTCTGGATCTTTATTTCTTGCTCTTACTGTATGTACATTTTTGCTCATGTTTACTGCAAACCAAGATAGAGAAATAAATAAATGTCATTTAAGGAAACTCTGACTCACCCTTTATTTCTCCTTCCTGTCATCTTTGGTGTTTTATGGATGAGAGAAGGGATTTATAATTCAAAGACAGATGGTGATGTGGATCCTTTCATCGTGGCTTACTGTGAGTCAAATTATGGGTGTTGCAATCAACTGGTATTGACGAAAACCATGATATTTAAAAAATGTAATCTTAAAATACTACTTTTCAAATATTCCAGCACCTCTTTTGCACAGATACAGTTAAAGACTCCACACACTAGTTTTAAATCAAATGCATTTGCAAGCATTTTTCCAAAACACACAACAGACAAAGTTTAATATGGTCAGACAGATATCATTATTATCGCAAAACATCGTGAATTATTTTTAGCTACAATAACGTTGTAGTGAAAATCTGATATTGCTTCAGGTCAAATTTAGTACGGGTGTTGTAAGGGGGACAAAAAAATAAGCTATAGTCAATGTCAAAAGCAGTGTCAGGTAATCTAAAGTAATCTCATTCTCTGTAATCCTCGGCCTACAGCACCACTGAACTCCTGAGTTTAACTCTCAAACTGACACATGCTATCTGTGTGAGTAACAGAGGTGTGAAGTAACTAAGTACATTTACTCAAGTACTGTACTTAAGTACAATTTTGAAGTGCTGGAGTATTTCTACGTTATGTTACTTTGTACTTTTACTCCACTACATGTATTTAATACCTTTAGTTACTTTACAGATGTGGATGAATGATGTGAAATATAATCAAGTGTTAAATCAGACTTTAGTTCCACCTGGAGTAAATTCACAAGCTACCCTGCAGTATACAAAGTCATTCAAACTAGCTGCACCTTTACCAGCTTTGAGAACACTTTAATGATCAATCATTATAAAACATATCATATATATTATTCTGAAATGGACCAATCTGCATAATGAGTACTTTTAATTTTGGTACTTTAAGTATATTTTGATACTAATACTTTTTACTTGAGTAACATTTTGAATGCAGGACTTTTACTGTAACAGAGTATTCCTACACTCTGGTACTTCTACTTTTACTGAAGTACAAGATCTGGTACTTCCTACCTCTGGTGAGTAATGCAAGTAATGAGAATATCTACACTTTATTTTACAAGAGGAAGCAGTGGCGGTTCAAGATCAATTTCACTGGGCAGGGCAGTTTCTCAATGGGGGACAAGGAGACAAATACAGTGTCCAAGAATACAGCTCTTTAAATTCAGTATTAAGTCATAACGTGCAACATTTTTGTATTATAACATTTTTGTATTATAACAGAATTTATGTCAATAACTTCATTTTTAGTTTAGATAATTATTACCAGATACTTTGACTCAAGTTATATCACACTCAGTCAGCACTGTGCCCCCCCCACCCCTCCCCCCTGAAACTGGGGAATACATATAAATATAATTGATTCAGCCAGACTTTGTTTTTATGTTGTTTCTTAACACTTTCTGTTATTTGTTTTGGTAACATAATTCTTTTTCATTAACTTAGTGACAATTTTCTTTAATTCAATTATTGAAAAAAAAAAAACACCATTCCTGTTGACTTTGGCCAAGGTTACAGCACAGTGCTATCACAAATATCACTATCATAGATTACTCTTTATAAGGGGGGGCCTCAGAGGGGTCAAAGGTAAGTGTTACAGGGGCACTGGCACATGTTGCCCCCCCCCACCCCCTCTAGAACAGCCCCTGAGAGGAATGGAGTACGTAGTGGAAATACCACGAGCAACATGTCATCCTCCTAACACATCACAGGTCAAAGATCACAGATTGAAGACGTGTGAATTCAGTTTTAGATTGGGCTGTTCTTTCGTCCTTTATGACTTTGCTTCCCTATATTCTGCCTCCAGCTGCTTGACGAGATTACAGCCGAGGAGCACTTCCTCTCTCTGACCTTCAGCCATCCCTCCTGTCTCCGTTTCTCTCCTTCAGACTCTATCCTTATCTCTCCTTCCCTCACCGTCTCTTCCTCAGAAAGACTGAGCACAGTTCACCGAACGGTAGATAGCCATGGGATTACATGGCATTAGAGGTATTTGTGGGTTTAAAATAGTCTGATCAAGAGTAGCGTAGGTGACCGATACCTCCACACAATTATCCATGTTAAACATTCTACATATCATAGATCTTAAAAATAAGCAATTCATTAATATGTTTCAGATTATGACTTAAAAAAAATATATGAATCCATTATTTTTACAAGTGTAATTATGAGAGGGAAAGCATTTGTATTGAGGTTAGAAATCCTGTCTTTTTTCCCACAGAGCAGATTATATCCACCATTACATGTATGTTGGGAAATGGAGATGTGTGTGGAAGAGCAGTGGAGCCTCTGCTGGACGGTAGGAATCATTACACAGTTCAGTGGCATTTAAATGTCAACGTTATCAGATTACTGGACCACAAAGAAACGAGAACTCGATTCTCTCCTTTTTTTTCTTCCTCGTTTTTTTAAAAGATATTTAATCATTCTGAACATCATTCAACCATTTACAATATAAAACAGGAACAATCAATTCTCCACACTCACACTACAGTTGCATTTCAGTACTGTATTGTCCTTTTCTCAGCACTTGTTGATTCGTTGTGTAAAACCTCTTAAATCATGATAGATTGGTCCCAGATTTAAGGGCTACAAGGCAGCTAGACTTAGTCAGTTTTTGAGGTAGCATACAAAATCACCAAGCATTATCTACAGTTAAAACAGCAGTCATTTTCAATAATATTCTGAATGTAAAAAAATCACATGTGGGCAGGGGTTGGCACAAAAACACAAATCAATAAATTACAAAATCATCTCCCCTGCGATGATCTCCAGCATATCTTAAGCTGAACAAAGGTTACAGTGGTGTTTAGCTTATCTGTGCACCTGCTTAAATAATTCAAAGCCAGCCTAGATGCATCATCAGCTGCCCTTACGGTATCGAGATGTGATCTCATAAAATGTGATAAGGAATGTCCACACCGATCGAAAGCAAACACACTTTCAGTATCAGTTGATTGTTGACGCAGCACTTTGGTTTGAAGGGAAAAATATGGCACGTATGAATTCCAGCAGTAAAAAGGCCATTTGAGTTAGCAGCACGTTTTGTAGCTGTGATGCCCAGGATACCTTGAAGACAGTGCAAATATGGTCAAGTCTCACAGCCATTTTGTATTTTCTAAGGCAAGTCCAGCATGCCATTTTCTTCCAAGGCACTCTGCGTCCTGTCGTAAACCTCTCCCAGGGATTGTACCACTCTTTTTAGCAACATGCTCAGCTCCTCCTGGTTCTGCACACACACCAGCCGGAAGAAGAAAGTCCGCTCCGGCATGGCGATGAAGGCCAGCTCAGCGGCCTTGCGGACGAACCATGTGTGGTGGTGAGCGAGGGTCCCCTGATACGCCTCTCTGCAGAGCTCCGAGGGGCTCCTGAGCCGACCAGCCACCGGTGTTTCAGACAGTTTCTCCAGGAAGAGCTTCAGCCAGAGCAAAGCGCGGTGCAAACGGAGGAGAGTTCGACACCCAGAGTCCGTCTGGTGGTGGAAGTTCACCTGCCCTCGGTCCAGCTCTGTCCAGATCATGGTGCGCACAGAGTGGTAAGCACCAGTGTGTTGTGAGGCCTCCTTATCAGTCTTTTCCCCAGCTTCTGTGACCTCTCCGTTTATTGAGTGTATATCCGGGCCCACCAGCTCTGCTTCAGGGTCCGCTTCTGCCAACAGGGCCAGTTGGCGGATTATAGAGGTCTTGGTTTCTATCTCGTTAGATATCAGCCCCACCATCGGTCCCATAGCTTCCATAAACCTGGAGGAGTCACAAAGAGTAGGATGAATTATCTTCAGAGTCCATATCATGCCATAAACCATAAGATACTCCATTCTAAGTGTCTGTAAATGACTCTGTATCTGATGACTTCACCCAGGGTTCGGAGGGTTACTTTAACAAAGTGTTCTGGTACAATTACTAGTTACATGATGTAAATTAAAGTAATCGGTGGCGTTGTCGATTGTAACCAATGTATTATGTAAGAACATTGTAACCTTAGAAAAGAACAAACCAAGATATTAAGTATGAAAAAAGGTGTCCCCTTCATTAAGCATATTCAGGCAGTAGCCTATACACATACTATAGTTTAAAAAAGCAGAAATAAAATCTGAGCTGACAGAAAATTCTCCATTTTAGTTTAATACACACAGTTAAGATCACACACACTATTTTATGAACATACAGGTTCACCTACTGAATTAAAAGAAGAACAAACGAACCAAAGACTTGAAAACTATAGAGTAATTCAGGCAGTATGTATAGATTCACACTCAAAGTATTAGCTTAAACAACAGTACAGCGAACAAAGAATAAATAAAATCTGATCCTTTTACAACAAACACTATATGTATACTGTATATTTTTAGTTTTTGAAACATTGTAATCCTGCTAGTCATCCCCGATTTTGAGAAATGTAACAGTTATCTCAGTTACATGTTTTTGTAATCTGATAACGTAATGCTGTTACATGTAATCCGTTACTCCCCAGGTCTGATACCTCACGAGCTTGTCCCAGCTGGACAGCTAATATTAACCGAAGAACCAAGATATTCAGTATCAAAATGTGTCTTCTGTCAGAGATCTTATTTATAGGAAAGCCTGCCTTTCATGAAGCATATTCAGGCAGTAGCTTTTATTTTTTACTGCACATATTTTACATTGTATTCCATTCTATTTCAATGTAAATACTGCTTTATTTTATTTTTTATTTGACTATTTTTGTCCTCTATCTGTGTTTTTAAATGTTTGTTTTGATTGTATGTGCACCACGACACCAAGTCAAATTCCTCGTACGTGTCCACCTACCTGGTAATAAACCTGTTTCTGATTCTGATTCTGATTTCTGATACACCAACAATGAAACACATGAGCACATACTACAGTTCTTTAAATACATACAGTTAAACTATCACACAATGTTACCTGACAAGCTCGTCCCAGCTGGACAGGTACGGCTGCAGCAGGATGTCGGAGGTGAGTTCAGATGCAGCCTGCAGGTGGGACAGCAGCATGGACACCTGGAAGGTCTGACCCGGGCACCCCTCGATGACCTGTGACCCCTCGGCTCCATCAGCCCCACTGCTGTTGTACAGCTGGTGGTGGAGCTGCCAGTGGGGGATGGGAGGTGTGTGAGTGTGTGTGGGGGATGGGGGACAAAGAGAGAGAGAGAGAGAGAGAGAGAGAGAGAGAGAGAGAGAGAGAGAGAGAGAGAGAGAGAGAGAGAGAGAGAGAGAGAGAGAGAGAGAGATTCACCACATTTAAATTAGCCATCTGCTCCACAAAAACCTTATGGAGGAGATCTAATAAGTGCTTTATAATTTGCATTTGCTCTTACCGTGTTCCCCTGATTATAACCCTTTAAACAGGAGTCCCAGTGGTAATCCAAACCTCCGTCTGCAGTGAAACAAAGTCAAGAGAAACAAGAGAAAATCCCTGTTAATGTTCATAAACACTTTTCCACTGAAACAGAGACTTCTTTATTTGATAATGTTGCAAACACAAGGACAATATAAGCTGTGTGGGTGCATTTAACTAATACAATTACATGTTTACAGGTTTGTATTTCCATATTAATTATTGATTATTATGGGACATCATTAAACTTGTAATAACTGTTGTTTTTCTGGCCACTTGGGGGCAGAAGAGAGCACGGTTAAAGGTAATATGGCTGACAAAAAACTCGGTTTATTTACCGTGTATACAATCTGGTTCAATAAGAAACATACAACCGATGCAAAGCAACATTTGCCGATAGACTAAGTGGTATACAGCGTTAACAAAATGGTAAGAAGAAGAGGAAAACAACAACAACAACAACAACAACAAAAGACAAAGAAGAAGAAGAAGTCCTGTTTCTGGACTTCTGTGAATGTAAGTCAAATATATTCTGTTATGTTAGCTCTGTGTGTTGCTAATGCTACCACCAACTCTTTATCTGCCAGTTGAAAATCGAGATTGTTTAGCCTTTTCACTGAAAACGGCTTCCTGCTTCGACTGTTTAGTGATAGTGAACAGACACAGTATAAAGTTGAAGCCAGATGGCTAAACAATGAGCTTTGAGGAAGTCACTAAATCTCCATTGAGCCAAAAGGCTGCAGATTCAGGTGATTAATTTCTGTGAGTGACCCCATTGTGTCACATTGGCTTTTGATTGTACAAAATATCGATTTAAACCCGTTTTAAATTAGATGAAAGTATTTCTCATGGCTCATTAACAAACATCCCTGTCATGTGGCAGATCTGTTATTCTATTGAACCCTTGTGTTATGTTCACATTTCGCACCCTTTGGTAATGTTCGGGTCAAATTGACCCGGGACATATTTCAGGGTTTAAAAAAAATACAGAACTAAATTCAACATGCACAATTCCATATATTGTCTTTAACTCATTCCCCAACAATATAAATGAAATATATGATTCGTTTTTGAAAATACTCTTTGCTAGATCAAATTTAACAATGGAAGTGTCCATCGTTTTTTGTGATAAAAATGTAATTTATGTTAAAAAAAATACACTGTAATAAAAACTAGGTTTACATTTTGCTCATGCTTTTCTAGGACAAATGTAAATGAAACATTTTTTCATTAAAGGTAGGGTAGGTAAGTTTGAGAAACCGGCTCGAGATCCCTAGAATTTGAAAATACACAACCGGAGAAAATCTGCCACTTCCTTATAGAGCCCCTCCTCCAACACGCACATGACCAATGAGGGCACGAGATAAGTTTGTGCACAGATGGAAGGCTGACAGGCAGGTAGGCCATCCAGTTATTTTACTGTAGGCGGGCCGGCTCAAATAGAGTGGCGAAGTCCCTCCCCTTCCGGTGGACCTCCATGGGACCTTATTTCGGAAAAATTATGTATTGAAGTCAATGGAGAGAGAAAGATTATCTTTCGATCCCGTTTGAATTGTGCCACGAATTACACATATGTTGTTTGTCAATTTAAAAGATAATTTTGCAAGTAAAAAAAAAAAAAATGTGTCGTAAAACTGTGAAGTAACACATTTGTTTGTGTGAAACGCTCAATGAACTACATCTCTGGTCAACAACACACGTCACCAAGATGGCCGTCACTACTGTCTTGTCAACACAACGATTGACTACCCTCACTATCACCACAATGAAACACGTCCTGAAGAATGTCATGCAAAGCTGCCTGCCTGCCTTCCTTTGATTCTCTCTGAACTGCCTGGTCGTTTTAATGTTTAATGTCAACCATTTGTGCAGATAGCATGAAGTAGAGAAGATCGCCGATGCTAACGTTAGCGTTAGCATTTCTCCCCCGGGCTTAAATGGTGTATTATAGAATGATCACACCGGTGACAGTACTATTCAAAGGGTTCACGAAATATGACTACTACTCTTACTGTTTAACATTTTGGGTTACTTAATGTTACTTCATGTTAAGGCTAATAAAAATGACAAGGCTGTAATGCTAACTAACGTGCTAGCTACTAGCTAGGTAGCTAACTTGATCAAGCCACTCCTGGTCCTTTCATCAGACGGGAAGCAAAAGAACGAGCAAGACCCATTGCTGGTATAATAACAACCTGGTACTAAGCACACAGGCATCTTGTTAAAGTTATCTTATCTTAGCCAGCGCCATATAGATAGATTATATCTATATTGCGCTGATCTTAGCTATCTGAATGGTGGAGGAAAACAATTGTGACATCACTTACGCGACTCTGGGATTTGTAGTCTTTCTAGTTACGTATTTTTCATAGTCTTATATTTCAACAGTTTTACGACAAACTGTGAATTTTGTTACATGGAAATTATTTTTTAAGATTGACAAACATCATATGTGTAATTCATGGCACAATTCAAACGGGATCGAAAGATAAGTTTTCTCTCCCCATTGACTTCAATGCATAATTTTTCCGAAATAAGGTCCCATTACCCAGAAGTAAGTGGGCGTGACTTCGCCACTCTATGATTGGTCGTGCTTTTGTATGGATTTTTTGTCAAAGTCAAGATATTCATTGCTATCGGGATGTTAAGAGCATTCCATGGAATATAACAAAAAGTGTATCTCGAGCCGGTTTCTCAAACTTACCTACCCTACCTTTAATGTTTATTATTTTTAATGTGGCTGTGGGGGTCCTTCAGCAGCTGGCTCTGAGTCAAGTTCATCTTCCAATTCGCTGTCAAATTCTGAGTTTACCTCCACATTATCCTCATCGTCAGAAATGTCTTCCTGTTCCACTTCACTGTGTTCTTCTAATGCATTCCACTCACTCTCATCCATTATTAGCTCCAAGGCTCTCTGAGCAGAATATCTTTTGGCCATTTTGCTGGTAGATAATTGTAGTTCTGCACTATACACTGTAATGTGAGGTTATGTCTCTGTTTAGTCCCTCCTCCGGCGTGCAGGTGCGAGGGGGACAGTGCGAGAAAATGTAAAATGTTTATACATTTCTGGAAGATCTAAAATGTTTATAATGTTCTAGGATAGTTTTGTGTACACACTACAAAGGGTAAAGATCAAGGGAAAACAGGATCAAACAGCTTCTCTATGCATACGCGTGCGTGCGTGCGTGTGTGTGTGTGTGTGTGTGTGTGTGTGTGTGTGTGTGTGTCTGTCCCGAACCTCTTATGAAGGACATAAATGCGGGTGGGCATTTTTTCATAAGTGGAAAAAAATAAAAATAATCCCACATGTCCTTCACAATAAATAAGCCCCGGCCATTGAGTTTCAGGTTGAACGAAAATATCCTTATTTATTTTTTTATTCATTGAAAATGGAAATCGGAACACCACACAAGGGTTAAAGAAAACAAGCTAGGAAATGGCAGACCCCTGTTTTTTTATATTGATTCATTCCACTTAGTAGTACACAGTATATAGCTGAAAGACAAAGAGCTATGGTTGTTGCACATTGTTCCTGCTTTGGAGAATTTGTGGACATGGTTATTATCTAATTATATTTTTCTACATTTTTACAATGTTCATGCTTCCTATTCTTCTTTCCTGAAACATAGTTGTTAATTATTGTTTTTTTTAATCTTATCTTCAGTGGAAATTCACGACATTGCTGTGAAATAGATTAATGGTCAGTACATTTTCCCAGGAATAGAAAATGGTTGATGTTTATGATGAGAGGCGATATAAGGTCCTTTTTGACGGCATGTTTATGAATTTTTATCTTTTTTTTTTACAAGTGACAAAGCAAACCCTGTGAGTTTAAGTAAACATCTCCAACACTGACTTCCTCAGCACACGTCATATGCATCTAAGCCCTTTAACAAATCAGAGCCTTTAACTTGTTGAATATTTGTCATTTACCAGCATGCCTTGTTCAATTAAACTGTGGCATATTCCCGAGTAAATTCAGGGTAAGCTGTTCCTGAGTTCTTTTATTTGGAGCCTCCCTCAGAGGCCAGACCACACACATAGGGACCAGTGTAGCCGACCCCCTTACAACCAGAAGCCACAAAGCTGGCAGTAAAAAGCTTCCCTAAAAGATCCAAGCTTCCTGTCAGATAGCTCGTCTAGTTAGCCTCATTAAGATACCAAACATTCATTTCAAATACAACTCAAAGCCCGAAAATACATTTCTAACTTGCCTGTTACCGTAGGAGTTGCCAAACATTTTAACAGAGATGTTTGCCACTACAGACTAATAGGCGTATCTAAATATATGTTTCCTAATTGAGTTATTACTATTAGGATGGGCTAATCAGTTGGCTGTTCATGCTCCCAAATGAAATTTCCCTTCAGCTCAGTTTGCAGTCTGAAACTTCACATCTCTCAAATCTTTAAATTTAATCCAAGCTAGAAAAGAAAAGTCACATTGTCCCAGTTTGGACATTGCTAAACAGCTTACCAGTCCATTAAGGAATGGATCTAAATGGCAAAGAAGTGTTCATTTTATTATGTGCTGAACTTTATATTGCCATTCTGTAATTTACGACACGCCATAAAGTTTGGTTGTCATTTGCAATAGAATCCTTGTGAAGAATACAAGAAACTTTGCCTACAAAATCACAGTAAAGTCTATATTTCAGCAATAGTTGATCTAATGTGACTGATAATATGTCATATACAAAAATAGGAGCAACAGTATCATCTCCCAATTCAATAACATGTGAAATCATGCATGGAAATACTTCTGTGATGTTGTTAGAAAGATTTTAGAGTGGGTAAAAAACTCTGGCGTGACCACCATGCTTGATTCAACAGCAGCAGTCTGTCCATGTGACACATTCCTGATATGTAGCGTATGCATTTCAAACAAGGGAGGGATTGTTTAGATTAGCAGCACAACCTAGGAGCCTGAACACAAACACAGAAATACTCACGGAGCCACAGGGAGCCGAGGAACAGCAGCAGCACCAAGATAGCCGCCGCAGCCTTGCTCTTCACACCCATTCTGAAGTCCTGCTTAGGGTCTGCCAGCTCTCTTCCTTCTCTTTGTCCCTATGTTTTAATTCCTCTGGTTCTCACATGAGTCCTTTCCCCTTGCACTGACTGTCGCCACAATTACTCCCTGCCGGACCCCTGCCTCTGACCCCCCCTCACCCTCCTAAATCTTTCATACTCCTCCCCAAAACCTGAAATAAAAAGTTCTCCCAGCCACCGTACCTCACAGAGAGCCCCTGTCAATGTTTAACTCTATTTTACCACAGCTGCTTTCCCCGTCACTGTCACAGCTCAGCCTGATGTTGCTCTTTCTTTTTCCCTTTGGCTTTCTTGGATCCACGTCTCTCCTCTACCCTGCCTTTGTTTCTGACTGATCTTGAAGCTGCCTGCCTTATTGTTGTGTTGCTCAACCTGAGGGTCCAGAGATCAGCCGTGTGTGGCTGATAATGCAGAGCCAACGCGGCATGTCCGCCAGTAACCCCCTTCCTTCGAATTCATCTTGTATATATGCGCTATATTCCTGGTCAGTATGAGGAAACACTTGCTCCATCGCCTCCCTCCCCCTCTCCCTCTCTTTCTCCCTCTATAACTCATTCACACATACCGCTAGAAGCACCACCATGCTTACAACAGCTCTCAGACACACATTTCTGAAAATGTATCGTTCAAATGGGAGTGCAACACATCAGGACACTCTCAATGAACACATATTTCCCCCCCAGTCTTTACATGTATATGTATTGCAACCCAGAGTAAACCGCTGTATTGATTCATTTACAATACGATTATGTTGTTGCACAGTCTGCGTTTGGTGGCTGAACAGAGCAATGTTATCCTTGTTTGTCAATCAATAACACAGTCTAACCGAGCTTATCCTAGCTGAGCCGGCAAAAGGACTAATGATGTCCACTGATGCTAATCTAATTCTAGATATGACAAAGACATGTACAAAAACATAGTGGGAGCAGACACATGTCCTTTCCCTTGTGATTCATATTCTGTAGAATATCATGTTGGATTTCCAAATGCTAATTATGGAGGAATTCCATCGGATTGTGTCTAATTGAAGTCTAAAGTCTGACACATGTCGCAAAAAACTGGAGGAAGCGTAAAAGGTGTTGCCATGATTATCACCTCGGATAGTGATAATCAAGGGACAAGGCACTGATTGGTCGCTATCAGTGGGTTGGCTGTGGGGGAGGTGAGCAGACATTGAACTCCACTCTCAAGCCGAAGCACATGTGTGCTCATGGAGAGGGACTTAACAATGGTGTTCTGCAGTGGAGGAGCGGGAAAAGAAGTGAAAGCAGGGGCATTCATTACTTGGCTGGGAGGAGCTGGTCATGGGGCTTGTTGCTCTGTGCAACCAATGAATGATCCCTTCTGAAAAAAAGGCAACAACTGAGACTGTGAATCCTTGTGAAAAAAAACATGTGACTCTCAGGAGACTTGGACTGTTTGATTCCACACTGCTGGAGAAATCAGATTAAATGTTCAGATTAAATAACATGCATTTTAAATAGAAATATTCCCACAAAAATGTGTTTGTTGCTGCCCATTCTTGACAGGAATCCCACGTGCACAGTACTAGTAGACTAATGCATACGGCATGACTTCCCACTGTGTGAGCATGTTTATGTATGGGGGGTTTGGCAGGGCAGGAAGTGAAGAGTGAAAAATCTGGAAGCATTTTCACTGCATTTAAAACTACATTTCCCCTAGGTTAGTACGTTTGTATTTAAATAGTTTTAAATGTAGGTAGAACAACAAGCTGGGGGATTGTATGTAATGGCAAAACAAAAGGAGAAAGAAAATTAGAGACCATCTTGCTACAGAATCACAGGCTGTGATGCCAAATCCTGCCAGTTGGAGGCAGGTTCCCCAGTTATGCCAATGATAGTAACTCAGTGGTTCTCAAAGTGAAGAAAGCTTGAATGAAGGGTATAAAATATGGGCTCTTCTGCATCTAGGTTGTCCATATAGCAAGCGTGTTTCAGCTTCCTAATGCAAATATCAGTTCTTCATAGAATAACTTTTGGATTCTGAATTTTACTTAACTTCTATGAAATAATGATTTAAATAAAGGCTATTTATGTGTTCTACCTTGAGGTTGATTCAACCCAAAAAAAAGTATTTGTTCTTTATGAGTAAAAGTTATGGGGAAAACATATTTTTAGGCCCAATGGCATCACGGTCCTGGAAGTTGTAATTCCACGGTCAGTAGTATATTGACTTCTTTGCTTTGTCTTCAGGAACACATTTTGCCATTATGACACACACATTGACACATACATTGACACATACATTGACACACACACATTGACACACACATTGACACAGGTAAAAAGAGTACCTGCATTGCTGTCGCAGCTAAAAAGGCATGATCATAGTGCCTAATGGTTCGGCTGAGGTACAACCCCCGAGAAATCAAACTTCTATCTGCAACAAGCTTTCAAAGTCTTGTCTCACTGTGAGAGTTACTGACACCTTAAGACATTTATTGAAAAGAGTTAACTTTTATCGTATCTCTCTGGATGCACAGCCTGAACTAGCGAGTTACTAAAGGTTGTCATTGCAGTTACAGCTCTTTGTCCAACCACATTAACACTACAATAGTTTGAACCATTCACTATATTTATAGCACTTGTTAAACAGCAAACAGTTAAACACGCGTCTGACATTCTGCACCCGGTACGTTTTGAGAAACATTTTTGGCTTCAGCTGTACAGAACAAGAATGTATAAAGAGAACTGGATACAGTGTTGGTGGCATAGCCCCGTTCTTTGCTATAAAGGTTGCTCATTGCCTCATGGTCTGACTCTAGAGAACACAAATATAATCAGCATCCATTGGGCCCATTGGGGTTTTCCTTAAGTCCCGCCTCCCAGCAGATACGTCACGGTCTAAGCCCCAAACGCTGCATCTAGGAGGTTAATTTGCCCACTGTCCAAAAAACGATTTAGCGCCAACCTTATGCTTTAATTTTGTTTGTTTCAAACTAAAATGCTTATTATTTGTTCTCTACTCTTGTGTACAGAGGCCAGACGGATCCAGCTCCAGTCTGTCTCTGAGCTCTGAACTCAACTGAACTGAGTGTGAGACACATTATCCACCTTCTGCAGGCTCCAGTTACCTTAAAGAAGCTCATCTCTGTTTCCCTAACTGTATATTTAGAAGTACATCACAGACTGTGCAACTCACATGGCACATTCCAAAAATCAGTCTGTTGCCCTTGTCGCTTCAGAGTGACACTACTTATATTACTCACAGCACTAATTATAAGAGCAAAGTTAGTCCCTCGGTTTAAGTCAAACGTCCTGATTGTCTGATTTGTAGTTTTTAGAGTTACCTTTGTAGCGGCATCCACTTCTGTCCAGAAATCCTCGAACTTAAAGTAGATCCTCTTCTCTGTCTCCGTGGTTTTATGGTTTTTATGGGCTTTGTCTGCCACCAGCCCTCTAACCCCGAAAGACCGGGTCCGCAGACACTCTGTCACTGCTGGAGTCCTGTTGAGGTGGCATGGCTCTGCACGGTGTATTAATACCTCAACACATAGCAGCAGAGGGCAGGCCTGCACACTGCACCCATGGGTGTGTGTGTCAGTATCTCTGGGTTTTTGTTGATGTTTGCTCGACAAGCACACACACACACATTTTATTAGGTTGCAGGAATTTACTATTGTTCTTCTGTTGTTTATTGGTGGCAGGCAAGGCAAGGCACGTTTATTTATATAGCAACATTCAGCACACGGCAATTCAAAGCATGCTTTACAAAATAAAATAAAATACATTTAAGAAAAAATACAGCAGAAACACATTAGGTAGGTTTTTTAATGATTTATTTGTTTCTTAGTTTCCATATAGTGCTGTGATGGTGTGCTCCATTACTTTAGTTTTTGCTCTGTACTTTTGATTCACTTAAAACTGATCTATTATTTCTGTAACTTGTGCATCACTAGTGGCCTCTGTCCAGAGACTACATATGAACACTTCTGGCTATATGTGGTTCAAAAAAAGGTGTGATTTATCTCTGCTAAATTACCAATAAAATAACAAAAGTCATCATTTGGTTATCCTACAAAAGGACAATTATCAAAGTGAAGACTATAACGATAAATACCAATATTGAAGATGTATTATACAGGACATCAATTGAATACCTTTTGTCAGATAAATGCTGTAATGTATATACCTGGCATCACCACAGATTTGTTGTCTAATGATCATGATGATGATTATTGTGGGTGACCGCAGTGTGACTTGAAGTCCTGCTTTAGTGCTAACCAGCTGCTCTGTAATCTGAGCTGCGGATAGCGACAGCCGGGGTGGGCGACAGTCAGGGCGTTTGGAGGGGGATTTAGGTCTCTTCCTCTCCGTCTTTTCTCTCGCTCAAACTTAATATTTAGATACAGTCCGGTGCGGTGCAGCGGAGCGGTCTGGGAACATGATGGCGGGGTGCAGGTTTTGGATATTTGTTGGCGTTGTTGTAACTATCCTCGAGACTCTAATGGTTCAGGGTGAGTGGCGCAGTCGCAAACTTTTTCGCACATCCACAACTTCTTATCGATCAAGATAATTCTCTGCCTGTCATGTGCAGACAGAAGATCAGAGTTTAGAGAGACAGCCAGGGCTAAAAGTCAGAATACATTGAATGGCATGGCAAAGAAAACTTGTACTTTAGATATCCAAGAAACGTCTTCAATCTTCTACTTAAATCCTGTTGTACATGCTTGAATTTGTGTAGCTTTGAACCAACTTTGGAAGTAGAAATAACAATTATTTTTCTTCTGTTGATGGCATGAATGCAATCATCCATTCAGCTGTATTTCACATACTCTAAAGTGGATGCATACACAATTATTGTCTTGGTTTGCTTTTTGTGCACACCTTTCTACTAGACCATGCACTTGATTCAAAGGCTTGTTTGACTTGTATACAATTTGGGATACTAGGAAAACTGTACACAAAGCATTAGGGGGTTTTGTCTCTAACCCTAACCCTTTGCTTGTTGACAGTAAGTGCATTATAACCAGGGGTGCACATAACTTTTTTAGTGAGTTACTTAGATGAGTACCACGAGACAGCGTTTGGTACTCACCCCACACGTGGTTTTAATAAGTGTAGTCTTCCTCACTGTCTCCTTCACTGTCCTTTATTTCCACTTATTGCATGGTAGATGATGAAGATGCTGCAGATGCTGCAGATGCACCTCCCTGTCCCTGTTTAAGCCTCCAATTTGCTTTCTCCAAAACTTGTTGCCAAAACTGTGAAGTCCTTGCATTTCCTGAGGTCAAATACTAAGAAATGATCACATGACTTGAAGTCATCTGATTTCAGATGTGGGAAGTAACTAAATACACGTATTCAAGTACTGTAGGCTACTTAAGTACCATTTTGAGATACTTGCACTTTATTTGAATATGTCTATTTTATGCTACTTAGTACTTCTACCCCACTACACTTCAGAGGTAAATGGTGTACTTTTACTCCACTACATGTATGTAATACCTTTAGTTACTTTACAGATCTGGATGAATGATGTGAAATATAATGAAGTCTTAAATCAGACTTTAGTTCCACCTGGAGTAAATTCACAAGCTACCCTGCAGTATACAAAGTCATTCAAACTAGCTGCACCTTTACCAGCTTTGAGAACACTTTAATGATCAATCATTATAAAACATATCATATATATTATTCTGAAATGGACCAATCTGCACAATCACTACTTTTACTGTTTGTACTTTAACTATATTTTGATGATAAAACTTTTCTACTTTTACTTGAGTAACATTTTGAATGCAGGACTTTTACTGTAACAGAGTATTCCTAAATAAGATCTGAGTACTTCTTCCACCTCTGTCTGATTTCAAACTCCATTAACCCCCTGAGTAAGTTTGCAGCTGTGTGTTTTGCTCCACCTTGTTGTAAATAAAACTGCAGCAGCTTGACCACTGCGCGTGACCGTTGTGATCAGCTGATTTTGCGCAGTTCTCCAGTGTGTGCACGGGGCACAGAATGTGCACAGGGGAGTCTCCCACCGCAGCCAGTTGGCGTAGTTTTGGTACAATTCTGTTGTACACACCGACGTTTACAGCAGCCCTGTCTGTGCACATGGCGACCAACTGTCGTCCAGTGATCTAAGCCTCTGCCTCCTGTAAAAGCTTCACAGGTCCGTCGGTTATTGCCTGCGCGACTCGGCCAGCACCCAGTTCAATCAGTCCAAGAAAGTCAGAAGATTTTTAGCAGGAAGCGAAATGCTTAATGTGTTTTATTTTTTTTGACATGTCTAGTAGTTTACTCCATTGAGTGTTGACAAAAAACACGGATTTTTGCCGCGCATGCGTACCTGCGTACCAGTTATGTGCACCCCTGATTATAACCATAAGACTGATGTCCATAGGGATCCTTAGACCCTCGTTAAAACAATACTTTTAGACGTTTAGCCAATGCACTTTAACACATTCCCATTAAAAAGTCATGTAGAAAGGCATCTTTGCTTTGTCCTGAGAGCAGTGATTGCATGGCACTGATGGATTCTGCATCAGGAGGTTAACCGCAGACCAGAAAGGCCACAGCTTCAGTGGAGGTAGAGGTAAAAGCCGGGATGTGATGCAACTTTAGAGACATACGATTCTGCAAATCCATTAGGCCACTCGGGATGCCAAAGGTATGACAAGTCGCTCTCAACAGCTGCGGGTAAATCCTCCTAGAGTCCCATCTCCTTGGCAGAGGTCACTGGAGCAGTTTGAGAAATGTTCTCAGTGACAAGGTGACGGTGTGGACAAGATCCATCCTGAAATGTAGACTCTTGTTGTTGTTGGTTTGACATGTTTACCACGTTTATTGAATGGAGTTTGGAAACAGTGCGTTGGGACTTTCCCTGAGAAAATATACATTGGGATGCTGGAAAGAAGACTGGAAGGAGTAGCGGCCTTTATCCTGGACACCCTGACACAGTGTTGTACTTCAATCAAATTGACATTATCACTGTACAAAGGGAAATGTATGATGTACTTAAGCTCTTGTGAGCCATTTGATCTCTTAACACTCAGAGCAACAGCTGTACATTTGGCCTACTAACTATCTTAGTGTTAAACGGGTAGCTTGGATAGTTTGAAGTGGGATTGAAGTACTTGTATTACCTGGAACGGAAGCTAAGCAATATGCTGCTGTGGAAATAGAATCAGTTGTAGTGTATGCCATTTATAAAATAAGTATTAGCTTTACCCCCCAGAACACAGGAGTTGCTGGTCTACTGCTGTGTCGACAGGTTCATTTTGTTATTGTGTGACTATTTTAAGTCTATATTGACCAAAGTCACATAATACGAAGAAGATTCAACTTATTGTCATTACGTAGTACAGGTACTATGTAACGAAACGGTTTCTCTGCATTTGACCCATCCTAGTGTTAGGAGCAGTGGGCTGCCATTATGGACGGCACCCGGGGAGCAGTGTAGGGAACGGTGCCTTGCTCAGGGACACCTCGGTAGCACTTGGGGTGTTTCTCAATGTCGAGGAAGGCTGCTCCAGAGCCACTTTTTCAAGGATACTACGTCATCGAGTCCCGCCGAAGGACTGTTCCAATGTCCAGGTCCAGGATACTTAGAATTCTACCGAGGCCGGCGTACTTCGTTGTGGAAAGTTTCGAGGCTGCACATGTGTATCCTCCGCGGTCTTAAAATCCCCACAATGCTTTGCGCACGGACCGATTTCCAAATCTTTGGCTGAAATCACGCTCCATTTAAGGCGGGGCCTCTCATATGACGCACACCTGCACACCTGTTAGCCTGTTCCACAATTCTTCGTTTTCCGAGGCTAGGAAGGATTCTTGCCTCGCTTCTGAAGCAACTGACTCGGAGGTACATGTGCTGCCAAGCAAGCCTCCTCGACATTGAGAAACACTTTCCGGGACTTGAACTGGTGACCTTCCAGTTGCCAAGCCAAGTCCCTATGGACTTCGCCACCACCACAAACAAAGCAAACAAAAGAAGGCCGCCATTGGAGTCCTTTGTTTACTTCTGTAATGACATCACTATGTAACAACCGCACTTCTATTGGCTAGCGCTCCAACACATTGTACTTGACAGGCTTAGGGGACATCTCTAAGGGGTTGACCAATTACAACAGATTCGGCCATATAACCACTCAGAGCAGAGGGTGAAAAGAGGTGCTGCAGCACAGGCAGTATGAAACAAGATAAAGACCCTTTTGAACATTAAAGCATGGAGACATGTCAGAGTAGAGACACTTAATACAAATATGAACCTGAAAATGAGCATAATAGGGCACAAACTCAATCAAGCTATGATATTAAGCATGAATATCTTCTCCTTCTTTGGTCATTTATTGAGCTTTGATGTATGGGCTCAGAACAGTCTCATAATACACACATGCACACAGAAGGATTCACACTTGTATTTCCGGATCCACACTTGTGTTTGTCAATGCACACACAAATGTGTTCCGTTTCATATACATGTAAATAAAATCCAAATACAGAAAAAAGTTTTACATATGTATTTTTGATCCTCACATATTTGTTTTCCATTTAAAACCGCTGCACCTACAAACACAAACCGCTTTCTGTGCATGGATCACTGTGCATTCGTGTGTGGGTTTTTTGAGACTCCCCTGACGGTGACCCGATTCGTACTTGTAATTTTTTCTATCTATAGCCAATCAGATGTCTCCTTCATTCTAAGCCAAGCACATGAGCGCGCCCCCACGAGGGTAGATTTCTTGCGTTTATGACGTATCGCTTCATGTACGCATTTTGCGCTGTTCGGAGCTGACAGGTCCATGGAGCCTGCCTGCAGGCGCTAATCTCAGGACACCTCCACTCTCAGTACATTGCCACTTTCCGAACAGGAAATGCACGCAAATACAAGCCTTTATATTATTAAGGTACAGTGCCACTTTCCGAACCATTAATGAATGCTTGTGTACACAAAAACGGCAGGCAAAACCGTTTTAAATGTGTGTTTCCTGTATGGCGAATACAGCTGCTTTATTTATGTCTGTATGAAGTTGTTGTGAGTGTGGAGGGAGCAGCTACAGGTTAGCTTAGCCTAATCGATCAGTGCACTACGAAGCCAGTGCTAGACAGTGAACTGTCAACGGGGGGAGCCCCGCCGGTCATTATCGGCCGATATTCACTCTTAATAGTTTGATCGGTGCTCTCTATAAAGGCCGATCAGGAGAGCTGGATCTGATCGATATGGACATAAACGCGAGTGAAGTTTTAGCGAGCTGCATGAGAAACTGACGGGCTGTCAGGAGAGAGGAAAATATAGGATCCGTTACTCCCGTGTTATTAGCCATATCCGGTCATAGTCCGGTAATTACCTGCTAACGGAAACTCTGCTACACAATTCTTCTTCTTCTTATTATTATTATTGAAACATGACCGGTAAGTTTCAAATTTGTCCGGTAAAATAAATTCTGTCTGCGGAAACCCTGCTCCGGACAGCGCAAAATGCGTAAGTGTCATGAATGCAATAAATCATACCCTCGTGGGGACGCGCTCATGTGATTGGCTTAGAATGAAGGAGACATCTGATTGGCTATAGATAGAAAAAATTACAAGTACGAATCGGGTCACCGTCAGGGGAGTCTCAAAAAACCCACACATGAATGCAGAGCGATCCATGCACAGAAAGCGGTTTGTGTTTGTAGGTGCAGCGGTTTTAAACGGGAAACAAATATGTGAGGATCAAAAATACATATGTAAAACTTTTTTCTGTATTTGGATTTTATTTACATGTATATGAAACGGAACACATTTGTGTGTGCATTGACAAACACAAGTGTGGACCCGGAAATACAAGTGTGAATCCTTTTGCGGATCATGAAATACAAGTGTGAATCCTTCTGTGTGCATGTGTGTATTATGAGACTGTTCTGAGCCCATATTGATGAGCAGACCAAAATGTTTCATCACACATGAAACTCCTCTAAAAAGGGATGCTTTCTGGAAGATGGGCACGAAAATGTAGGTGCGTTCGCGTCTCATTGATGGTGCAGGTTGTTCGTACCTGCTTTGACTCACGGTCAGCTGGGGTGAGCTTGGCTTGCTTTGCTTCAGTCAAACAGTGATGTTGTAATATTTACCTTCTGTGTTGTTTTGACCTGTTATGCTGCCTGACATTTGGTTACCTTAAAGGGGTCAGCTCAGCCCATTATAAAACATTTTCTTACAGCTGGTGGTATTTAAATAATAGGGCCGTCCAGTCTGCTCTGATTGGTTAGCTTGCTTGCTCTGTTGTGATTGGTCAACTGCTTAGAGATGTCCCGCCCCTTAGCCTCTCACTTACAATATGGTGGAGCGCTAGCCAATAGATGTGCAAGTGTCACTATGTTACAAAGAAGAAGGTAAACAAAGGAGTCTAATGAAGGCGTTTAATCTCTCCTGTCGCTCTCTAAGAATAGAATATATCTTTATTGTCATCATACAAAGTACAACAACATTTCTTTGGCAACTCTCACTGCAGTAAAAAATAGACACAATAAATAAATAAATAAGAGTGGTAAAAGCAGAGGGTGTGTGTGTGTGTGTGTGTGTGTGTGTGTGTGTGTGTGTGTGTGTGTGTGTGTGTGTGTGTGTGTGTGTGTGTGTGTGTGTGTGTGTGTGTGTGTGTGTGTGTGTGTGTGTGTGTGTGTGTGTGTGTGTGTGTGTGTGTGTGTGTGTGTGTGTGTGTGTGTGTGTGTGTGTGTGTGTGTGTGTGTGTGTGTGTGTGTGTGTGTGTGTGTGTGTGTGTGTGTGTGTTGTAAGAGGTTGCTCTGAAGCAGCAGCAGGAAGTGACCAGGTCAACTAATAGACATCAGACATTACAGTACTTTGTAACCACATGATATTACCCCCCCCCCCCAACACACACACACACACAACCTTCCCTCATCCAGCACCAGTCACTTTTCTGCCCATCTCCGCGGCTACTGCACTGAAACTGTACTTTGAACACTTTAAATATATTATTAACATTAAAAACTGTATACCCCGGTTATCTAGGCCCTTTTTGTTTTGTTTTATGTATACATGTCACACTGTGAGACTGCGGGAAACGATATTTCGATATTTCTGGATGTATAACACATGTAGAATATTTGACAATAAAGCTGACTTTGACTTTGACTTTGAGGTACAGACGCAAGGTATACAAAAATAATCAGTAGCAGCATTATAAGTTAACATATACAAGTAATTATTTAGCAGTAAGTAGGTATTGCACAGTGCTATTTCACAACAGTGCTGTTCCAGTCTTAAGTAGTGAAATAGCTGACAGTGATAACAATATTAAAGTGTAAAACAAAATGTATAAATTGTATATATAAGTAGTGTTATTGCATATCAGTGGTGGCTTGTGTGCTGGTCTATCAAGGGCCTTAAAAAAGCAGTGTTAACAGTTATATTTAAATACATTTGATTCCTAACAACTGGCAAACCCTCGGGAAGAGAGACATCTCACCACTGTCGTTACGATGCACACATTGTCCCATGGGGGGGGGGTACCATTACAGCTGAAAACTGTGTGACATATTTGTACCTGATTGGACTAGGCAGTTCTGGGAACGAATCGATCGTGGGGGACGACATCTTTACTGCTTTGTAGTGTGTGTTACTGTCACCGTTTTTGATGATTATTACAAGCGAGCTGAGAGTTTGAGAGTATGACTTCAAGTCTTGGTTTAGAGTTTCCCAGCTGCTGTGTAATCTGAGCTGTTGATAGTGACAGCTGGGAGCGAAGAGGCAATGTGTCGGAAATAACCTCTGCCTTACTCTTTCATAGTCTCTCTTAAGGTAAATACTGAAATATAGCTGAGTGATGGTACCATTGTTAGTAAGTGTGGCTAAGAGCATGGTTACTATAGGCTCTGTATTCTGCCCTTACTGGAGTGGAGATGTGATTTCTAGCTTGACAGATAGCTAACTGTGTCTTCAATTAACACCCAGAAGACAGCAGGTACAGTACACCTCGGATGTTTATCTGAAGTTATGCGTTATTTTTCACCATAAATGCCCACTGCAATAACTCTGTATAACAAATAACCACTGGCCAGAAGAGAACTCTCTGCTCCATAGCTTCACTTAATAACTGGACTTAAACTCCCACTCCCACATTTTACATTTATATTAAATTTAATGAATAATCTATTTCTTGCACAATAATATCCTGCATTATATTTGTTACTGGAAAGTTGTATTTCCACATCCACGTATATTTATATATATCTTTTTACATTTTAATGCTGTTTTCTTTCAATTTCAGACATATTTTGGATATTTTTGTCTTAATTTCTTATGTACATTGCCTTGTTTTTTATGCTGCTGCAACGCAAAGATTTCCCAAATTGGGATCAATAAAGTACCTACCTACCTACCTACCTACCTACCTACCTACCTACCTACCTACCTACCTACCTACCTACCTGCCTACCTACCTACCTACCTACCTACCTACCTACCTACCTACCTACCTACCTACCTACCTACCTACCTACCTAAGATCTCATCTGTGCCTCACCTTACCCCACAGTAAATGGCTTGAGCGCGCTCACAAAATAAGTGGCCGCGCTAAATTAGTGCCCGCGCTCCAGCAAGTTACTGTGGGCTTACGTGAGGCAGTGCTCGTCCCTGCCTCACTTCTCATCGCTCCCGTAGCGGAGCTCGGCAAATTTGCTGATTTTGACTATAAAATGCGATTGGAATCATACAGAAATCACATTTACACAAGATCAGTGGAGACATTTTATTATTATTATTATTTAGTTTTTCTTTAATTGTTTTTCCGTTACATTGGAGTATGACAGGTGAGGCTCTGCCTCCACTGACTGCACGTCGCTGCTACCTACCTACCTACCTACCTACCTACCTACCTACCTACCTACCTACCTACCTACCTACTTACCTACCACTTTAAAATATATTCTTCACAGTATATAGAAGTTGACTTTCACTTAATTACATGATGTCAAATGATCTTAAAACAGTGTTTATGACAATTACTAGATCTAATCCTAGGAGAAACACGTCATGCAGTATGTTGGAAGTATGACATATTTGTGCCTTCACTACATTTTATAATCATTATCAATAAGCATTTTAATTACGTCAAGAGTCTATCCAATCAACCAGATTGGAAGGTTATAACAATACTAATGAGTGTATCAGTGAGACCCAAACTTAGTTCAGACTGATCTGTTCTTCAGATGTTTCTCCCTCGCCCGTCATGAAATACCGTTTGACATATTTCAAACACAATACTCACTTTCTCCTTTGTTTTTTTCCGTGCAGTGCACTGTAATGAGGAGGTGGAGCTGATCGGTGACTTGTTCAAAGACTACAACAAGAACATTCGCCCGGTGAAGCATCCTGATGATAAGCTGAACGTCGATCTTAAGCTGACCCTCACCAACCTCATCTCCCTGGTGAGATAAACACTGTTATACAAAATTATTCCCCATCAGGACTATGGACAATTAAGCGCACATTTATGCATAATAATGGCTGTTTGGTCAAGTAACATAGCGGAGCATAATTAACATAACTAAAATCAGAGATGCTGAAATTACTTACATTCTTTACTAATAGAGTGGTGCAGGAACGAGTCCTAAAACCCGGAAGTGAGTGAAAAACGATGGTTGTTAACAAGTGGCTGAATAGGACTACAGAAGTTGTGGAGGACGTTGTACGTCATTACGCCGAACACGTAAACACTCCCTCTAAGTTTGTTTGCCCTGTTCTGCTTGAAAGTAAGTACCTGCCTCCTGCAAACTGTTCAAACAAACGCTTCAACTTGTACCATTTAGAATCTGTAGTTTTGAATATGGATCTTAAGTTGGCGTGACGTTGAAGTCGTTTGCTGTAGTTTGTTTATAGCATAACGTTAGCATTTTGCTTCTGGCAATTAGATTTATGATTCGAAAACTATAAAAGTAGGGTAGACATGTGGAGATTATCCGGCTGAACAAAACGTGCATTTATCAATCAGTTTTCCACAGACCTTATTTTTTACAATATTCCAAAAATCCTATGGAGAAATCCCATTGCTTTTTTGTCGAGGGAACCATTCTGGGTCGGCATACAAAAATACGTCATCACTGCACCACTCTATAGAGGCCCTATTATGTTTTTGGGGATTTTCCCATTCCTGTAGTGTCTTATCTCAGAGGGAGTTTCTCTCCCCCCCCCCCCCCCCCCCCCCCCCCCCGAAAGGCCTCGATTGGACTCCTTTGTTTATTTGTATAACAAAGTGACATGACCATGTAACACTCGCGCCTCTATTGTCTAGCGCTCCAACACATTGTACGTGAAATGCTAAGGGGCGGGACATCTCTAAGCGGTTGACCAATCACAACAGAGCCTGCTAACCAATCAGAGCAGACTTGGCTCTGGTTCCTGAGGGTAAAAAAAGAGGTGCTGAGAAAGATAAAGCACTTTTTGAACATTACAACATGTGAAAAGTAGAGGCACAACATACAGATATGAGACCTCAAAGTGAGCATAATAAAACCCTAAAAGTATATTAAGAACGAAATGGAAATACTCAAAGTACAAGTAGGTCAACATAGTGCAATACTTGAGTAAATGTATGTTGTTACATTGCACCACTGACTGAAATACTCATCCTGCTTCATCACTTATATCACAGAATGAAAAGGAGGAGACTCTAACGACCAATGTGTGGATTCAGATTGTGAGTTTCACTTCAATTGATACTTTTGTTTTGTTTGTGCAAATCTTTACAGTTAGGTTCATTTAGCCTCGTTCCATCAGCATCTATACATGTGTCAAGTTTTTAACGTCACTGGTGACCCTTCTCTTAAATGTCATCTGCAGCAATGGATAGATTATCGCCTTATGTGGAACACATCTGACTATTACGGCATCGACACTATTCGTGTCCCATGCAACAGTGTTTGGCTTCCTGACATTGTCCTTGAGAACAAGTAAGGCAGTAACAAAGAGGAGTTTCTCTACATCAGGGGTGTCCAAACATTTTTCACTGAGAGCCACATACAGAAAGACATAAAAGGGCTTGGTCACTCACTAGAGGTGAGGTATATTGCCTTATAAGTTACAAAATCAATCAGATGTAGGTAAATGATGCTTGATACTTGAATATGCTTTATTAGAAAAACAGCCTACATCAGAGCTCTGCATAGGGTTTCATATATTTTGTTACAAACAGTGTTGGCAGATCATTCCTTAAAATAGGAGCCTCAGAATGGGAAATAGGAAGGGTAGATTTCAAGATTATATGTATATAAATTATTGGGCTTTTTTTTAATCAAATATTTATGTGGAACCTACTTGCAGCAGGTCACCCTTGAAAAAGAGATCAATGATCTCAATGGGATTCACCTGCATAAATAAAGGTTTGAAATGAAATGAAATGAAATAAGATTTGTTAGAAAAATGCCTTCAACTTTAATTGACTGAATTGATTTAAATATTGGGCTTATTAACCCATGAATACTGTGTAATATATCTGTTTTCATCTATATTTAAGAAGTAAGACGAGCACACGTTTCAGGTGTGGGTCATATTCCTTTATCCATTTTGAATTTGCTGAGGGCCGATTCAAAATAGTCAACGGGCCGTAGTTTGGACACCCCTGCTCTACATGTAGTGTCATTATACTGTACATTAACTAATCTGGTGTGAACTGCCTCTGTTTTTTCCTCGTCATTCATCTCTGCAGCATTGATGGAAAGTTTGGCGTGGCGTACTACGCCAACGTGCTGCTCGGCGCCAGTGGTACTATTTTCTGGCTGCCGCCCGCCATCTATCGCAGCACGTGCTCCATCGAGATCACCTACTTCCCATTTGATTATCAAAACTGCACACTAGCATTCAGGTGTGGTACAATTATATTTCAGTCTGACAACTCACGTGTTTCTTAATATGTTTATTAGAAGCAGCATATAGTTTGAGTTTGGCGTCTAGGCTCGGGCCTCATCACTCCACAGATGTACATAGAACATTGAGTGATGATTAGATAACTATCCCCCGAGCCTACAGGTGGAAGCTGGGGTGGAAGCTGGGGTGCTGGTGGGGCAGGCGAGCAGCAGCAACATGAACACAGCAGCAGGAACATGAACGCAGCAATAGCAAGTGAACACAGCAGTGGCAGCAGCAGCATAGCGAGGCAGAGGCAGGAAGACCTGGCAGCTTAAATAGAGCGGCATGTTTAGGAGAATGTGTTTGGTTGGTTGTAGGAGGGACGAGGCGCGTCACGTGTTACGGCCCGTCCACACGGCGGCGTGCGTTGAAGCTTCAACGCTTCTGCCCATTCACTTTGAATGGGGTGACGTCACACTTTGCCGAACTGCATTGTGGGAGCGTCGCTTGCATTGCTCGCGTTGCCCGCTTCAAAAGTTGAGCAATGTTCAACTTTTGAAGCTTCGACGGAAGCGTCAGCCAATCAAATCATATGCCAGTAAAAGCTCTAGCCAATCAAACCGCGTGCTTGTGTGTCCGGGGCGGTGTGATTGGTTGTTGGTCGAGCTTCAGACACGCCCGCCGGCAAGCTTCAACGCATGCCGCCGTGTGGACGCTGCGTGAATGTATCATTGGTGCTCGAGTTGACTGCCTGAACTAGCTCGCAGGCTTCGCCCAACTAATTACATTTACTTTATTTATTAGTTTTATAGAGGCCAAGCCAACATTTTTAAGAGGCCTTTTGGGGTTTTCCCGTTCCTGTTGTGTCCAACACATAGTACGTGATAGGCTAAGAGACGGGACATCTCTAAGCAGTTGACCAATCACAACAGCGCCGGCCAGCTTACCAATCAGAGCAGACTGGGCTCTGGTTTCAGACAGAGGGTGAAAAGAGGTGCTGCAGCACAGGCAGTATGAGAACAATAAAGACCTTTTTGAAATTTAAGCATGTAAACATGTCACAGTAGAGACACACAAAAACTAATATGAACCTGAAAATGAGCAGAATAAATGTGTGTCCTCTATAAGTCACTTTTGACATAATTGATGCGCACTTTATCTTGTCTGATGAGCAAAAGGTTGAATTGGCTTTCAGAAAATTACACTTAGAAACACAATAACTTATGTTTGGTAGCCACACTTTACCTCAGTGTGTGCCTGTGTGTGTCCGACAAACATTGGTTCCTACTTATGTCGATGAGAGCCTATTGGTTCTGACAAATTTGTTATTTTTTCGTTTTAAAGAATAAGCCGGCTTCATGCTCATAGAACTGGAGTTTCATCCACCTAACACTATTTTCCATTGTATTTTATCCTTGTTGCCATGACACATAGATCCCAGACATACAGTGCCAATGAAGTGGTCCTCCTCTTGGCTTTTGACGACGAAGGTGAAACCATGATTGAGTGGGTGGATATCGACCCCCAGGCTTTCACAGGTACACTGCATCCACAATCAACACTCCTATGTTGATAACGCATGGTTCCTCTCCAGCTTCTAGCGTGTTTTTCACCCCTCAGAGAACGGCGAGTGGGCCATTGTCCATCGTCCGGCCAGGAAAATGATCTACGAGCGCTACACCCCAGATGACCTGGAGTATCAGGAGATCTTGTTCAATATTGTCATCCAAAGGAAGCCCCTCTTCTATGTCATCAACATCATCCTGCCCTGCTCCCTCATCTCCTCTCTGGTAGTGCTGGCCTACTTCCTACCTGCTCAAGGTCTGTAGAGCCATTTTCCTACTGCTATTATTACATAGAATATGATGGTGTTATAACATATCAAGTCTCGTAATTGTACGTGCCTTTGATCTAAACAAAACTCATCGAAGTTACTCTGATACTGAACATGATAAATAAAAGGCTCCAAAGAGCTGCTTTTGGGGGGGTTTTCTATCCTCTAGTCACTAGACAAAGGAGTCCTTATAACACACTAGAGTCTAGTGTGTTATAAGGACTCCTTTGTTAACTTCTGGAACAAAGTTGTATCACTACAGTATGTAACACTTGCGCTTCTATTGGCTAGTTGACCAATCAGAACAGACTGGGCTCTGGTTTCAGACAGAGAAAGTGCTGAGAGTATTGGGACCCACAGCTCTTATAATTTGTATTTTTTATTTGGTGTTGTCCTCTATTGCCACTGTTGGAAGAAGTATTTTATTCAGGTAGAAGAGCAAAAAGTTACTTTAGTAAAAGTAAAAAAAGATTGGCATCAAAATATACCTAAAGTACCAAAAGTAAAACTACTTTTCACAATCTGATAGATTAAATTAATGGATTGTGATTATGCGTTAATGTGTTCATCAGAGCTGGTAAATGTGGAGTTCATTTTTTTTTTTTTCACATACTCTCTCCTGTACAGGTTAGCTCTGAGTGTTAGCGATGATGCTAATGTAAACAAAGACCATATTACGTCCAAAACACGTCGCGCCTTGTTTCTGATAGCAACGTTTCTGATAGGGCCGTGAGTGTAAAGCCAGCCTACATTTCCGATATTACGTCATATCGGCCGAAAATCTGGATCAGCTCCGTTGAACCCCCGTTTTTAGAGATTTGGGTACAGAGGAAAAGAGAGAGGGTTTTGTTTTCTGACACTTTGTGAGTTCCCTGACACACCGAGGACACACATTTATGTATGAAAGACATGAAAAAGGGGATGTTGCATAATAGGTGACCTTTAAGTACAGTAATTGTTTTTCTCCTTCACAGCCGGTGGACAGAAGTTGACGGTTTCAATCTCCGTCCTGCTCGCTCAGACTGTCTTCCTCATCCTCATCGCTCAGAAGATCCCTGAGACCTCTCTCTCTGTGCCTCTCATTGGCAAGTGAGTCAGTGTGTTCTCTGCCGACCTCTGCTGGGTGTTTCCTCCTTTTATCACACACTGTTTCCAACACAGGTCTATTCTTTGTCTTCCTCAGGTACCTGATCTTTGTCATGTCCGTCACTACGCTCATCGCCACAAACCAGATTGTGGTGCTGAACATCTCGCTGCGCACCCCCAGCACTCACAACATGCCCCGTTGGATCAAAATTGTGAGTACATTGTGTGCAGTTGACAGGCATGGAGAGTAAAATACTTAATAAGATTACTGGTACATTTCTAAGAATTAGGGATTTAAGTGTGAATCTATACGACTACTGCCTGAATCTGCTTAATGGCTTTCACTTTCTTTGGTTCATTTGTTTTGTTTTTAATTCAGTATGTCAGGGGTGTACAACTCAAGGCCATTTGGCCCGCGACTTCATTTTAAGTGGCCCGCAAAAGCTTGCAAAGAATATAATACGTTTATTATATTATAAACATGCCGCTTTACAGAAGGACGTTGCCCATAAACTATATCTCCCACAATGCATCTCATTTTGTGACATGCGCACTGAAGAGACTTGCAATTATTTCCCCTAGACTTCTGCTTTCAGACGTAGTTAATTATGAAGTTATTACCCTATCCGATAATAATCCAATGCAGAGGCAAAAATGTAATATAATACATTATTTTATATATATTAGATATTTATATATGTATATTTATATAGTCTTAAAGTTCCAACTGGCTCTTTGAGTGCAACCATAATGCTGATGTGGCCCGCGATTACATTGAGTTTGACACCCCTGCAGTAGGTCAACCTAAATTTGATAACAGAATTAATGTTATCATTACTTTTAAATGTTGATACTTAGAATATGTTAGTGATTACATTTGTTTAATAGGTAACTATATGTAACAAAATACATTTGAAAGTAACCCTCCCAACCCTAGCAGTTGGGTATCAAATGTCTGTTCAAGAGTTATAGTGTGTGAACTATGATGTTCAGAGGTGGGAAGTAGTGGAGTACAAACACTTTGTTACTGTACTTAAGTACATTTTTCTGGTATCAGTACTTTACTCCTCTACTTATTTTTCTGACGACTTTTTACTTTCTACTTCTTACATTTTGAACACAAATACCTGTACTTTCTACTTCTTACATTTTGAACACAAATACCTGTACTTTCTACTTCTTACATTTTGAACACAAATACCTGTACTTTCTACTTCTTACATTTTCCAAACAGGCTGGTTACTTTAGTTTGAATGTGTGTTTGGTGGCGTGATCATTATTATTTAGAGTCATTGCGTGCCTATTGATTTGAATACGATCCGTGTATCCATCATTTCCTGGTCTTCTCTAAAGAAGAGGGACCAATGAAAACGTTGTCATGTTGCCGTTGTTCAGCATGGAAACATTCATTAGCTAACAATGACATTATTGTTCTATTAATATAAAGGGAGGTCAGGTACTCTTTAAAACAGCTGCTAGTTATGGGTACTTTTTACTCAAGTACATTTCAAAGCCCTCTTTACTTTTACTTGAGTAAAGAAGTTTAGTCCGTACTTCTACTTTTACCAGAGTATTTTCAAACACGAGTATCTGTATTTCTACGTAACTTGAGTAAAGGATGTGTGCACTTTTGCCATCTCTGATGATGTTTAATGTCTTGCTCCTGCAGCTATTCCTGAAATGGTTACCTCGTTTCCTGGGCATGCCCCCGCTGGTGGACGACAGCGAGGAGGTCGTTGTGAACGGCGTGACGGAGCGGCGCCGCAGCTCCTTCGGCCTCATGCAGAGAGCAGAGGAATATGTGATGAAACAACCCCGGAGCGAGATGATGTTTGACAGACAGAGACAGAAGCATGGGCTCTCACAATCAGTTTGTAAGAAATCTATTCTTTAAGAAGACATATTATGCTAATTTCCAGGTTCATATTTGTATGTTGTGCCTCTCCTGTGACATGTTTACTTGCTTTAATGTTAAGAAAGGTCTTTATTTTTCTCATACTGTGCTGCAGCACCTCTTTTAACCTTCTGATGAGCATGTCATTGTGTCCCTGGGCAAGACAATTCACCCCAAATTGCTCCTGTGGGGATTGCCAATAGTATTAAGTGTATGTAAGTCGCTTTGGATAAAAGTCTAACAACAGTCAACCGCTTAGAGATGTCACATATCTACAATGTGTTGAAGTGCTAGCCAATAGAAACGCGAGTGTTACATAGTGATGTCATTATTTAATGGAAGTCAAAACCTATATAACACGGGACAGGAAAGGTAATACCCCAAAAAGCATAAAAGGGCCTCTTTAAAAACTATAACAGACTAGTTGGATCAGATCGATCAAGTGTACACTAGGATAATAAAGGAAAATAGATCAAATTAGAATCGAAAAGCTGTTAATAAATGGAGAACCTAGATTGAACATTGCAAAAACAAAATACATCTTCAATGCTCCTTTTTCTTTCGGGCCAGGTCTGCTTTCCTGCTTACTGAATGTCTGCACATGCGCGTATGTATATATACACATATGAGTAGGTGTATATCTATATATACTATCATGGGTATAGGTGGATATACAGTATATGAGTGTATAAGTGTATATTTATAAAATTGTCCCACTAACTGATCGATCAATGTTTTTGTATAAATAACTGAAAACCAATGTTTTCTCTGTGAATCATATCCCAATTACTCCCTTATATTAGTCACTTATTTGTGTTTAACACGCATAATGTTTGTCATTTAACACCTTTATGTTTTAGATCAAAGATGCCTGTGTTTGGGAATGCTGTATCATACTGCTGTGTGACTGTCAGTGTCTCCTTCCCCCTAGTGGATCATTTGGATATCAGCAGCACAGCCAACCTGTACAAGAGCTTGGCGCAGACTGCACCCGAAATCAAGCAATGTGTCGACGCCTGCAACTTCATAGCCGAGAGCACGAGGCAGCAAAATAACATCGGATCTGTAAGTGACTTCAAACTTGGTCTGCCTATTATCTTTGCTTTTAAAGGAGTGTTTTTAAATGCCATTTTATAATATGTTTCTTAATGCTCTTAATGTCTTTCATTTTTGTAAAGCACTTTGAATTGCCTTGTGTTGAAAGGTGCTATATAAATAAACTTGCCTTGCCTTGCCTAGCCAGTACTTTTTGGGATGTACAGTATGGATTACAGGATTTCCTATCAATTTGTTTAAGCTATGTTATTTAAAAACACTAAAAGCTTTATTTGTAGAGCATTTTTCATACATAGGCTACAGCTCAAAGTGCTTTAACAACATGGCAAACTTCACAAGTTGAACAGAAAACATTTGAACACACATGCAGCATATGTACATATTATGTGATATCATAAAGAACAAGGAGGCAGAATAGGCAAGATAATAAATACAGTATATATACAGTTTATAATACTATTACTTTTTAACAACTAAGTTACTTGTGTTTATATCAGAATCAGAATCAGAGGGGACATTTATATTGTTACAGCAGAAAAGAGCCAAAGACAGCTTAATGTTACCTAAGCATGCATACAAAATTACAAAATACACATCCTGTAACAGTTCTGTTGGGAATATCTTATTCCTGTTGCTGCATAAACACCCAAGTTTTCCCTATATGGATCAATAAAGGTTTGTCTTATCTTATATTCACTTCATTTCCAATTTCAGGAAATAGAAAGCTGGGTGCTGATTGGAAAGATGATCGACAAGGTTTGTTTCTGGGTCGCCATCTCTCTTTTTATCATCGGCACGGTGGCCATCTTCTTATCAGGACACTTCAACCGTGCTCCTGAATTTCCTTTTTCTGATTCGAGCAGAACATATTTACCACCTTTAAAAATGTAAACAAGAAAACGTTTTTGCTCTGATGAAACCTTTCCAAGGTGCCTTATGCTGTCAGTAAGGATGAGGGATGTTTCTTATTGAGTCGCGGGCTCAGATTCAGGGTTGAGTTAGTTAGAGCTTTAATAACCGAAGACTTGACAACAGTCTCTGTGTTTATGTTCTAGGATTAGTCAGGCAGCGGAGCGATTTTCATTCAAACTTACAACTTAGCTGTTCATCTTAGCGTACGTTTGTTGGATGTATACATTACATTAGTGGATCAGGTCTCATTTAAAAGTTATGTTTTAAATCATAATTATCAAGTATTCCTATGATGTGGTTTGTTGTATAAACAGTATGAGTGTTTGGAGTATTTGAAGGTTAATCATGAAGGTGATTCACCGCCATGCTGAGAAATGTTATTTATCTTGATGCAAAGGCATTATTGCATTACATGGAGCCATACAGCTGTGTAGAACTAAGTTTTAAAATAGCAATAAACAAGGTTTCTTAGCTGATTTTATGTGAAACATGTGTCCATCTCTAAAGGGCGTTATAATAGTCATCCATGTATTACATAATCTGATAAAGTCTGTATAAGTTTCCCTGCGTGTAGTCTTACTTACTTGGAAAACCTGCACATGTAACTGGGACATTGTCTTGATTTTGTGCCATGTTTTTAAAATAAATTCATTATTTTGTGCTTCGTGACTTGCTCAATCAATTTATTTAATATGTGAGTTATGTGGAAACACAATTAGGAAAATGTATTCATCTTCAACATACTCTCTGTTTTTTCTTGCTGTTCTTCAGTGGTTTTGAAATGGTATACATCGTACCTGAAAGTGTAAATATATTGTAAAACGCCCCAAAAATTCAAACATATCAGGAAGTGCAAATAACCAATTAGCAAAGGAAAAACAGATAATTTGTAAATTACTCTAACCTTTTCAAGATCATCATGTCTGTTCTCTTTATTATCAATTATAATTCAGCTACCAGTTGTGTGTGTTTGAGAGAGATATTTGGAGAAATGCATAATGCATATGTGAAAAACAAAGGCCTATAATCATTGAATAATGTTAGATTTGTCATTATTTTATACTATTTTTTTATCTTGTATCAATTGAAGCCATCATATGGTTGACCAACATTAAATCTTGTTTTGGTTTCTTCTTATCAGTATGCAGATATTGCTCTGAAATAACTTTGAATCCCTAATTAGACTTTTGTTGGTGGTTGAACACCTCCATGTGGAGTGAAAATGTACTACACCCAGTCATGGTAACTGCGCCACCCAAGACAGGTTGATCACAGGTTGAATTGTAAATTATCTAAGAGTCACATACTCAATAAATTGTTCAGTTTTTAATTGCAAGTATTCACTCATATATGCTGATGTTTTTATTGCTGGAACACCTCAGTCAAAATCAGTGGTGTAAAGTAACTAAGAACATTTAGTCAAGTACTGCACTCGAGTACAATTTTGTGTACTATTACTCCACTACATTTATTTAATACCATCCGTTACTTTACAGATTTGGATTAATGATGTGAAATATAATCAAGTCTTAAATCAGACTTTAGTTCCACCTGGAGTAAATTCACAAGCTACCCTGCAGTATACAAAGTCATCAAAACTAGCTGCACCTTTACCAGCTTTGAGAACACTTTAATGATCAATCATTATAAAACATATCATATATATTATTCTGAAATGGACCAATCTGCACAATGAATACTTATACTTTTGATACTTTAACTATATTTTGATGCTAATACTTTTCAAACCTTTATTTATCCAGGTGTATCCCATTGAGATCATTGATCTCTTTTTCAAGGGAGACCTGCTAGACCTTTTCTGTTTTTACTTGAGTAACATTTTGAATGCAGGACTTTTACTGTAACAGAGTATTCCTACACTCTGGTACTTCTACTTTTACAAGATCTGAGTACTTCCACCTCTCAAAGTAGAGGTTTCTTGACCATTTCATGACTTGTTTCAGAGCAGTAGTAGCTCATCCAGAGTTGCATGTGGCCTATACTTCCGGTTACAAAGTAAAACAACTCTTGACAGTTCTGTCGTTTTGTTTGTTTTCTTTTATTTAAAAAATTTCGCTAAAGATATAAAAAACGACCTTTTATCAAACAAATACTTCCAAAAACACAGATGTGAGTCTTTAAAAAAAAACAGTATCAGAGACCGGAAGTTCGTCATACGCTACGTGACTTCATCACAGCCCCCTCCTCTCCATTCATTTACCTGCGTTCCTCTCCGTGTGTTCCCATGATGGCACAGTCGGTACATGTTTGTCCATTAAATCCATGATTTGTCTCCTAGCATCTCAGACCCTATAATATAAACAGTCCACTACTTATTAATGCATGTTTATCTTCACAAATAAAATTTAAAAAACACCCTTTTTCGTTTTTTTAACCATACAACACATGTATTTTTATTTTATTTCAGATTACAGATAAAAGCACTCGTGCCATGACCTGTCCTCGTGACAACACTGCCACATTTTAAGGACATTTCCTCTTTTTCCTCCGTAGGCTACTGTCCCCTCCGTAGGCTACTGTCCCACTGGACACGATATGGGAGGGACTAAACGTGTGCATCACCTACGGGAAATACTGTCAAACTCTGGCAAGAAAACACGATGAAATGTTACTTTTATCCTGGATGTAATTGTTACTTTTTGTCCTGCCTTGTGGAGTAGCTGTGTGTGCTGCGTCGCGGCGGTGTTTGATCTGAAAGTAAGTATATGTAGGGCCTTTAAGGACACGCTTATTGCACTATTCTGCAATACCAATGTGAGATGTTTGCAGCGGCCAATATCACTTCACCCAGAGGCTCGAATACCTGAGCTGTGTCGGTGTGAAGACTACATAATGTTTCGATGGGTGACTAATGTGGTGTAGTTTTGTAAAGTATTGTAGTTTATTTGGATAATGCGACGCTGTAGGAAATCAGGGGTGGAGACGACAAAACTTATAGCTTTTGGCTTTTTTTCCCCGACATTCAGTCTGACTCAAACTTAATATCCGGAGCCTAAAAAAAGACTGTAAAGCCACACTTCTGCTCGCTGACAAACATATATAACATGTCTCAAACATATGTGGGTGTAAACTGAAGACATGCAGTGTGTTCTCATTGAGCCAGACTGCAGCCTTATCTAAACTCCCATCAACTCCCAAAAAAGAGGCCAACGTGTGTTTTTACCTCCAAGGTTGTATCTAAAACACACTAAAAAAGATGTTGACTCATTGTGAAAGTGTCATGTAATGTGTTAATGCGTGGTCAAACAGTCAAAAGAAACAAGATTTAAGGCGTCAAGTGCAGATTTGGGGAAATCCGAAGGGAACCAGCAGACTCAGCACTGTTGTTTCAGTCATTTAGGAATGTATGACACATATCACATCCTGTCATATGATTTCTCGAGTGATTTCTACATGTTCCTCAATGTCTCTTCAGATGCCATGTGCATGTACTTTCCAAAAGATGAGGTAGTTTATGCAAAGAAATATGCAAAACAATAATTTCCCCTGAGTTAGGAACAATAACATTTGTGTATTTCAGGCTAGTTTATGAGAATGAATGTCCTTATAAGAATGCATACTGAGAACAAATGTGCAATCACTTAAATGTGATAACCTCAATGGTTGTTGTTGTTAAGCCTTATAAGGCCTGTTAAGTCACAATCTATTGGCAAATGAGGTAACACAATGGAGATTGTGCTGATGAAAGCCCTTGTATTGAAGAGGCTTTCTGTTGCTGTATTTTTGGGAAAATTCGGTGATATCTGTGAGGTGAGATCCAACAACACAGCTGCACTTACCAACATAATGCTGCCAAAAAGACAACAATGGCAATATAAGACATTGTGTCTTTATCTCATAATTGAGGAAGTATTGTGTACTATCAGAATACTTCATCAATCAGATAACATCCAGATTAGGGTGCCAGGTACAGACACACTGGCTCACTTTGAGACAGTTTTGTAACGTACTTAAATAACTTTTTTAGGCTCATACATTTTTTAGATGTGACCTCCTATAACCCCCTATAACCACACCAAGCGATGATGTAATGTTGTACTGACCACACCCTGAATACAACTCTACATCTGCAGCAAAGTCATAAAGAGTTCAACTATTAGAGCTTAGCCACAAAAACAACAGGTAACAAGTATTTTTATGCTCTGTTGAAACCTTTTTAATTAATCTGTTATATGGTATTTTGTTCATATAAAAAATTAACAAATCAAAGACAAATCTCTCATGGCCTTGTGAGTTACTGCTTCTGGCAACATTAGTAACTGATCCAGCATTGTGGTCCAAATCGAGTGTAGAATAAGCACTGATACACACACACAAACACACACACACTGATTTAAGCTCATAAGACCATTTGGTGTGGCTTGGCTTTCAGTAAAAGCACTCCCTTCTGGACAATTTGTCTCGTGCTGTAGAGAGGACCCTGGGTGGACGTAGTGTTGTATTTCACAGGTAGGAAGCCTGAGTAAATAGTGAAAAGAAAGTTTCACTCCAATAAACAGAAAACAGGAAAATCTTGTCAGTCTTTTTCCAGATAATTATGTTATGCCTGTCAAGTTACTGCACATTATATTTGCTGGCAAGTTCAAACTTACCCTGCAGTGAAGATCAAAAGTAACTTCCAGTAGACCTAAGAGGTTATTTAGCAAAATATTGTTTTGGCAACTTATCTGTCTCACCAAGCAGCTGGAAGTGGATTTAGATGACAGAGTTTATGGTAACTGGTGTTGCTGAATGGATGGTGTTAACTCAGGGTTAAGTATCTTGCCCAAGGACACATCAACATGTTGACTGCACAGGCCCCAGATGGACTAAAAAGATCTAGAAGTAACAACAAAAGAAGCGTGGGAAAAGAGCAGAAATATCTCACAAAGTGGGAATGGTCTCATAGCAATTAGAAGTAGTTATTTTCATGGGACTCTCAGCAGCCTCTGGTGCAGATTGATCTAAATGGGAGTTATTCATGAAGTAGATAATGGAAACTCATAGGAGTGTTCAACTTCAGTGTTTCAGCGCCGCCTACACACGGCGGCTGCGTTGGCGGTGGGCGTGTCTTGAGCTTGGGGAGTTAACGCGAGCAACGCGACCAACAACCAATCACATGAATCTCCCGTGTTTCTGTTTGCAACGGGGTAAAAAGGCTTTAAAAAGGCTCCCGTGTATGAATCTCACCATAGACATTAATGTCTAAAAAGCGTTTTTTAATTAATGTCTATGGTGCTATTTTATGCAACATTGCATGCTGGCTAAATATACTGTCTATGCCTGCTGTCCATTCAAACGAAGTTAACTGGATACAAACTCCCCAAACAGGCGAAAACCTACCAGTTTCACCCACTGTCTCTGCCTCCATGCCTGGCTCCTCCGGTTTGTATCCCGGTAGGTGAACAGAGACTGATCATATAGCACCGGGTGATTCCCTACCGCTACGATGATTTTCTCCTCCATTTTTTGCATATGAGGAAATGAACTGCGGTATGGCTCTCCCAGCATACACGCGGTTTGATTGGCTAGCGCTTGTACTGGCAGATTTGCATAAGCGGGATTTGATTGGCTGACGCCTCCGTCGAAGCTTCAAAAGTAGAACATTGCTCTACTTTTGCAGCGAGCACCGCGAGAAAAGCTACGCTTTGCTCCCACAATGCAGTTCGGCGAAGCGTGACGTCACCCCATTCAAAGTGAATGGGCAGAAGCGTTGAAGCGGCAACGCACGCTGCCGTGTGTAGGGGCAACCTAATGAATCGACTTTGATAACGATATCCGTTATAAAGGAAAACATGAAGATAACAGTAGATAACCGAGCATCTACGTAAGAGTCTCCTATTCGTATTTGTTTTAGACAACCTCAACCCATAACAAACACGAGTGCTTTATGAGGCAAAATACATTTTCTCAAAATGACCATATGGCATATCTCAATATCTAAACTGCTAAAGGCTAAATATGTGTCAAAAGTATGATAATGCTGCAACTATGTGCCAGTGTACACATCGTATTCTAAATAATCTCAGAAAACAATCATCTCACGATGTCGCTTGGGGCCCCAAGTTGGCCAGGGACGGCCCTGCCTGTACTATGAATCCCAACCCAAAACAAACGCGCTCTCGCTAAGCCAGGGGTGTCAAACTCAATTTCATCACGGCCACATCAGCATTGTGGTTGCACTCAAAGGGCCGGTTGTAACTTTAAGACTATATCATTAATTAATATAACTTCATAATTAACTACGTCTGAAAGCAGAAGTCTAGAGCAAATAATTGCAAGTCTCTTCAGTAAGAATGTCACAATATGATTTAAAAAGAAAAGCCACATTCTGGAAAAACATTGATTGTGACATTTTGAAAAAGAGAAGTGACATTTTGAAAAAAAAATCTATTTATGGGAAAAAGGCTAATTCTAAGAAAAAAGGCATATTTGGACAAAAAAAGTCAAATTTGAGATGCATTGTGGGACATGTCGTTTATGGGCAATGTGCTTCTGTAAAGTAGCATGTAACCGTATAATAAACATATTATATTCTTTGCAAGCTCTTGTGGGGCCACATAAAATGAAGTCACGGGCCGAATTTGGCCCCCGGGCCTTGAGTTTGACACCCCTGCGCTAAGCGGTCCTACGATGCTGGTTATCAACTCGGTAACTCAAGCCAGGGTTTCTCTGTCCGGCTGAGTGCGCGTTCACATGGAAGTTGCGGGGTTAGCAACATTTGACCAATCACAAACAATGACAAGCGTACTGACAGCGCAGCGTCATACTTCCTGAATGAAAAGAAAACTATAATATTAAACAAATATGAAGAAGTTAAACTTTAAACATCCATGACTTAAACACTTTATCCAGGATAAAAGCAACATAGTTAAACCTGCAAGGTGAATACAGAACAGCTGGTAAAAAAAAAAGTGTTTGAATGCGTACATTAACAGGTTTAATGGAGGCGTGTGGCAGTCAGCATGTCGTTGTGTCCCTGAGACACTTCATCCCAAATTGCTCCTGTGGGGATTGCCCACAGTATTGAGTATGTAAGTCGCTTTGGATAAAAGCGTCTATAACAAGTAACATGTAATGTTTATGATATCACTGCCCCGACTAAGACACGAGTGTAGGGCTGCTCAATTAATCATATTTTAATCGCAATTACGATTTTGGCTTGCAACGATTATGAAAACAACATAATCGAAATAAAACTATTTTTTTTTATTGGTTTTTCAGTTGAATTATACTTAAAGTTCAGGGTAATCAACTATTAAAAACATACTGTTCACATTTTTGTTTTCAATAAATGGATGTTTTCAAAGTAAATGGATAATCGTTTTTAATAATCGTGATATCAATTATTGACCCAAATAATCGAGATTATGATTTTTGCCATAATCGAGCAGCCCTACACGAGTGGATCCGACTTTAATTACATTTGACTCGAGTGTTTCGTCAACTTAATGTGTTGCTTAAAATAATACTTCTGCATACAGTATGTGACACTGTGAGTGTTGCACGGCCAGATACGGCTCAAGAAGCTGACTCGGATAAGGAAATATGATACATTATGATGTGATATGATATGAATGATAATGGGACACATCGAAGTCTGCACTCAGTGCCGCAGACTGTAGGCTACGTAATGTTACAGATATTTGAGTAAGCTTTCTTAACGCTAATATTATAATAGTCAGATTGCTCTGAAGATGGGAGGGGATATTCTATTAATTTTCACGTTCACACAGTCAGTTGATTTTTGCCGGCCGTCTTTCCTGCAACGGCAGTTTTTCTGTATTTTCCTCTATCCTGTAATATGACTTGATAGCTTTAAACTCCGCACACTGAGCTCTGATTGGTCAGCAGGCGGTGCTTGCACTGAGTTGATCTCTTATCCTGGAACCAAACCTGCTCCGGAGCAGGTTTGCCGCTCAGCATAAGTTACCATGGAGATCTACCCCGGTAAGAAGAGAACCAGCGTCGTAGGACCGGAAACCCAGAGTTTTCCCTGAAGTTAGCTCGCTAAGCGAAAATCCGGCTTCGTAGTACAGGCCTCTGAAGCTTTGATGGCAAACACTGACGGTTTATTTGGAGCTTCGGCCAGAGAATTCACAAGACATGTCATGAGCCATGAGTTGACACAGGTTGAAATGCCAAATCAATTCTGAGGGTTCTCCTCTCTGGTAGGAGGTTTTAACTAGTTTGCTGAGGGAAATCAACATTCTTCAAACAGCGGAGGAAACTGAATCAACTTCAGTTGTCGGTTATGGCTCGGGGTCATCTACACCCCGAGAAGGATGTGTTCCAGGTGTGCCACAACAATAACTATCTCTGACCGTGAGTTGCCCGGTCATAAACTGGTAACAACAACAACTTGCTAGGGCAGCCCGTCCTTAAGGGAGATAGCGGCTGTCCAAGGCTGGGCCTCTGCGTCAGAGGGTGAAGGAGGACATGCAGGGCAAATGATTCCCTGACAATAATAAGATATATTTTCCCAGAAATGTTCGGCACAAATACACCGTTAAACCTCAAATGTGAGCAGTATTTAAATGATTGTACTAGTACTTATTTACAAAATAGGTAGGATTGAGATCTGGTTCAACTTCTCAGATGTTTCATCATCATTTAATTCTTAAACTGTCTTTCCCTCGGTCTCTTTGTCTCTCTCCCGTACACACTTACACACCCTCCCTCTACTGTGCCTCGTTGCCCAGGAAACATTCAGCCATTCAAAGACATCTACCCACACACTGTAGCTCACAAAAGGGTTCACACACACACACACACACACACACACACACACACACACCCTTTTCTCCGACTGGTAGACGTCTCGTATGTCGCAGTATAGGTGACCTTATCCACAGGTACACACGTCATGTATAAAAGCAGGTTTTTTTTGTAAATTAACAGCAGAACTTGTTACATTTTGTGTTGTTCGGTGGTGTGAATTCCTCCTCTCGTGTGATCCCACTATCTCGCTGAACTACTTCAAGAACCTGCCATGAAAACATGTCACAGTCTAAGCACAACATACAAATATGAACCTGATAATTATCATAATCTGGCGTCTATAAATACTTCTCCAGATATCCAGTAATAGCTGTGTGCCACTGATACTACTGATGCCACAACTAATGCAACTACTGCTGGTGCTACCACTGCTAAAAGCACCTGCAACAATTAGCAGTGGCGCTAGTTTTCTACATACAGTATATAGAGTTTATGTAATTTAATATATATATATAAACTGTACGAGGTGAGGAAAATTAGATAACAGATTACTTGTTAAATAAAAAAAAAAAATTAGCGAAATCTTTTCCAACATTTTATTGTCAAATAATAAATTAAAGTAACACAGGCAGTATTACATTAATGCCTTTTCATTTATTAAAGATTATGAAGTCATGATAAGAGAATACATGCTTAATCTTTTCAATGAATATAAATTGTACTATTATAAAAAGGCATTTTAAGTTTGCAATTTATACAGCTAAAGCCTTAAACTTGCAGTCTCTGGAGTTATAAGTTGCCTGCAGAAAAACATTACATTTTTTATTTAATACTAATATCTCTTTGATGATTTGAAGGTGATGAAATGCGGATCCAAATGCACACTGAAGGCTCTTTGAGCATGTTTTCTCTCAGTGATCGTGCTGTTATGTTAAATGTTTGTTTTTCATGTATTGTGTCTTGATATTTGTCTGCTGATGTTAAACATGGAGCTGCTGTGATGCAAGTCACATTTCAGACTTGATCTGACCGTTAAAGTATTATCGTATCGTATCTGAATCTATTCTTATCCATGGCAGTGTAGTGCACATTATATATGCTTAGTGGTGAAAAGGTGCACACACTCTGGGCTGTACAGTAAAACTCTCTCTTCTCTCTGTTGTCTTTGCAGCAGCGCAGTTTGCACTCGCGGCATCTGAGCGATGGACGGCCCGGATGACATCGAGCCGGAGACTAAGAGCTCGTCGGCCCAGCCTCTGGCCGGAAGACGCTTTTCACGCGACATACACGGCCTGAGTCCAGATGAGATAGATGGCCTCATGTCCAGCAGCGGTAAGAACAACTGTCCCTTTCTTCAATACCTTTAACCATCACATCAAAAGACTTTTATTAACATGTTCTAATCTTTCAAATCACAGAGGGACGTCCTTTCCTTGTGGTGCATCGTCTTCCTGAAATAAAAGATGAGGGTGTTCCTGCTCTAATGCCTGGTATCCCTATCACATGCAGAGTGGACAACACAGAGAAACACACTACACGCTCTAAGGTATACCTTTACATTAGTTCTTTATAAGTGAACAATTGTTGATCTCTTTTGGTGGTTCCTAATAGGATGCTTGATTTTATAAAAAGCTTTGGATACACCTTAAATAAAAGCATTAAAAGAGGACGTACTAGGCTCATATTTCATCGAAGTCAGAGGCCTCATTTTCTCTTTTCTTGATCCATTTAATCATTTTATTTTCATTAGGAAGCAGAGGAACTTTTGTAATGGTGTATTATAAAAGGAATCACCACGTTTTGCTATTTTTTTATAAAGTGACTGAAAACATATGCTAGATTTTCCTCCTTAAACCCATCATGCTTACAGTATGTCCTTCATGTCCATGGTGTCTGTCCAGGTCCGTGTGGGCACCTTGTACACCGTGTTTCTGACACATGGCCACTTCCACTGGACGGTGAAGAAGAAGTACAAGCACTTCCAGGAGCTGCATCGAGAACTTAACAAGCACAAGGTGATGCTGCACCTGATTCCTGGAAGGTAGGTCCACCAATCTGTTTCAATCATGTAAAGCAGGGGTGTCCAAACTTTTTTCTCCGAGGGCCACATACAGAAAAATACTCGAAGGGCTGGGCCGCTCACTAGAGGTATATCGCCTCATAAGTTAAAGGGGACCTATCATGCAAAATGCACTTTTGTACGTCTTTTATACATGAATATGTGTCCCCGGTGTTCCAGGGAACTCACCAAGTGTCAGAAAACACAACCCTCTCTATTTTCCTCCATACCCAAATCTCTAAAAAAGGGGCTGCAACGGATCTGATAAAAACTGATCCAGATTTGAACACTGTCCTGACGTCAGGACAGTGGCGCTACGGCTATTGGGCCAACTCCACCAATCAGGAGGAGACAGCCACGGCCATTGCCCTTCGAAAGCGCTGGAGACGCTGTAGTACATATGCCAGGCCTGTAGGTGGTGCTGTTCTCACAGAATCAGCCCTTGCAAAAACAGGGGTAAAAAAGTGCAAATTGAGCGAAATGAGGTATGGCTAAAATGCATGATCTGTTTGGTATTTTGAAAATAAAAAAGGATAAATATGCCTTATATAGGTATGGTCCTACACTATATTATTATAATATAGCATGATAGGTCCACTTTAAGTTATAAGTTGGAAAAATCAATCAAATGCAGGTAAATTATTCTTGATACTTGAAAATGCTGTTAGAAAAAAACAGCTCACAGCTCTCCGTAGGGTTTCATTTTTACATTACAGTACATTACATTACATTGCATTTAGCTGACGCTTTTATCCAAAGCCACTTACAATAAGTGCATTCGACCAAGAAGATACAAACTTGAAGAAAACAGAATCATATAAGTACATCAGGTTTCAAAGAACCAAAACATTTCAAGTGCTACTCAACTGGCTTTAGATAAGCCAGTCCTTTATTAGTATATAAGTGCTTTGTTAGAAATTCTTTGTTAGCAATTCTATCGCTCGAAGTGGAGTCGAAAGAGATGAGTTTTCAGTCTGCGCCGGAAGATGTGTTAGCATTTATTTTGTTAGCAGCTCATTCCTTAAACAGAAGATTCAGATTGCTCATCTAACTGTAAGAGGACACATGGATGGTAGATTTCAAGGTTGTTATGTACATGTGTTATTGGGCTTTTTTCTTATCAACTTAGATTTGTTAGAACATATTTTCAACTTGAATTTACTGAATTTATTTGAAAATTGGGCTTATTAACATACTGTGTAATATATTTGAACATATATATTTAAGAAGTACAATATAAGACAAGCAGAAGTTTATTATACTTAAGTCATTATACTTTTTTAATTAGCTGAGGGCCGATTCAAAATGGCATTTGGTCCGCGGGCCGTAGTTTGGACACCCCTGATGTAAATCAACCTCTCACTCTGAGAGACTCCCAATCCAAATCCCTGTCTGTGATGTGATTTTCCCCGCACCCAGTGTTTTTGAATATTCAAATTTCTCTCAAAGATTTGCAAAGGACGCAGCGCAGCTGAGGGCCATGTCGGAGGAAATGCCCAGCCTCCACGGCACTGAGCGCACCAGGAGGACCTCCAGCAAAATGGTATCCAACTCAGCATCAGATACATGTATAGTGATAGTCATACATTTGATCTATGTAACACCTTTCATACATAAAGGGCAGCTCAAAACAATCTTACAATACAATAATATACAATATATAAACACATTTCTAATAGCATAAAAGACAGTTGTTGCACTTAGACTACAACAAAAAACAACAAAAAAATAAATGTATAGTTTAGTTTGTATAGATATTTCACATCTATCAAGAAACTAATGATATTAAATACATGTAGTGGAGTGAAAGTACATGATTTGCCTCTGAATTGTAGTGGAGTCGAAGTTCAAAGTAGCATAAAATGGAAAAACTCAAGAAAAGTACCTCAAAATTGTACTTAAAGGTACTGTAGGGTCGGTAAGAATGGAGAAACCAGCTCGAGTGCGCTAGAATTTGAAAGTACACAACCGAAAAAAATCTGCCTCTTCCTTCAGACTTCCTTACAGAGCCCCTCCTCCAACACACACGAACGCGCACATGACCAATGAGGGCACGAGATAAGTTTGTGCACAGATGGAAGGCTGACAGGCAGGTAGGCCATCCAGTTATTTTAGCCGGGCCGGCTCAGATGATTGGTCGTGCTTTTTACAGCGCCACGGCTTCCACAGATGATATTTTTTAATGTATGTATTGTCAAAGCATTTAATTTATTCATTGCTATCGGGATGTTAAGAGCATTCCATGGAATATAACAAAAAGTGTTTCTGAAGTGAATTACCTACCCTACCTTTAAGTACAGTACTTGAGTAAATCTACTTAGTTACTTCCCACCTCTGATAATCAATATATTGTAACAGGTTAAATTCTTAAAAATCATACCGTCAGCCAGTTGTGTTTCAAGTTGTTATGCTTTGTACATAACTTTTATTTTCTATTGCAGAAATACCTCGAGGAGTACCTGAGCGGCTTGCTGGAGAACTCGTTTTGCAGGAATGATCACAGCATGGTAATATCTATAAAAGAAAGACACACGAAAACAAAGTGGATGTTATGCAGCATGATGCCATTCTTGTATCTTTTTATTTCAGATTGAATTCCTCTCTGTCGGCGCCCTCTCCTTCATCACTGATCTCGGACCAAAAGGCTTGTAAGCAGATGTCCAAAGAGTGTGTGGGAAATGACAATAGATTGTACAGAGAGATTAATTGTGTCAACTTTCCTCAGGGAGGGTCCCATCTCTAAGAGGTCGGGGGGTCATCGGATCCAGGGCCTGAACTGCATCGGTCACCATCAGTTCTGTTTCCGCTGGTCCCAGCGCTGGCTGGTGGTCAAAGACTCCTTCCTGATGTACATGAACCGAGACTACGGAAAGATCAACTTCGTGTTGCTGTTTGACCCGGAGTTCAAAGTGAAAGTGGGCCGCACTTACACCGACACCAAATACGGAGTCTGCTTCGAGAACTTCACTCGGTACGTCTCTGACATTACATTTCATTTAGCTGATGCTTTTATCTTACGCCACTTACGGTACGTCCACACGGCAGCGTCGCGTTGAAGCTTGCCGGTGGGCGTGTCTGGCGCGCGACAAACAACCAATCACATGAATCTCCCGCCCCGGACACACAAGCACGCGGTTTGATTGGCTAGAGCTTGTACTGGCATATGATTTGATTGGCTGGCGCTTCCGTCGACGCTTGAAAAGTTGAACTTTTCTCAACTTTCGAAGCGAGCAACGGAGGCGAGGCAAAGCGACGTGACGGAACCACAATGCAGTTCGGCAAAGCGTGACGTCACCCCATTCAAAGTGAATGAGAAGCGTCTCCGTTGAAGCGTGCGACGGAACCGTGTGGACGTACCGTTACAATAAGACAACTAAAAAGCAAGAGTCCTGCAGGTACATTAGCTTTCACTAAGTCAAACCAGATCAACTCATTTCCATCACCGAGTTTCCATCTTCATTAGCATCACTTCTGTCACATGCTTTTATCATATGGCAATACTTATGTTGTTGTTCATAATGTTTTTATAATTTTTGTGCTATGGCATTTATATGTTATGTCTTTGCTTTGCTTTGTACAGCCCTTTGAGGCATTGTTTGTGATTTAGGGCTATAATACATTTTTGATTTGATTAGATTAACGGTTACTATTAGCTTCAATTTAAGCCAGACATACAGCGCTATTTACAGAAGAGAGCTTTTATTGTTTAGTTTTAGGTCTGCCTGATGTTGTTTTTTTAATCAGTGGTGTGAAAGTACCAGGATCTTTAACTTCAAGAGTTCGGATTATATTTTGGGGGATTTTCCCTTTCCTGTTGTTTGTTACATAAACTTTTGTGCATGTCAATGGTATGCAAAGGCTTAATCTGTGAGTTCCCCCTATTTTACGTGATAGGCTAGAGGGCGGGACATCTAAGCTGTTGACCAATCACAACAGAGCCAGCCAGCTAACCAATCAGAGCAGACTGGGCTCTGGTTTCAGACAGAGGGTGAAAAGAGGTGCTGCAGAGAATAATTTGCCCTACATGTCCTCCTTCACCCTCTGACGCAGATGCCCAGCCTTGGACAGCCACTATCTCCCTTAAGGACGGGCTGCCCTAGCAAGTTGTTGTTGTTACCAGTTTATGACCGGGCAACTCTCGGTCAGAGATAGTTATTGTTGTGGGACACCTGGAACACATCCTTCTCGGGGTGTAGATGACCCCGAGCCATAACCGACAACTGAAGTTGATTCAGTGTCCTCCGCTGTTTAGTCTCTCTATTGAAGAATGTTGATTTCCCTCAGCAAACTAGTTAAAACCTCCTACCAGAGAGGAGAACCCTCAGAATTACACTCAACCGTGTGGCCCGTGACATGTCTTGTGAATTCTCCGGCCGAAGCTCCAAATAAACCGTCAGTATTTGCCATCAAAGCTCCAGCTCTCCTCGTGTCTCTCCGAGTCCTGTTTCCAATTGCTTCAGAAGTTTCCCTCACAGTATGAATGATTCAGTAACACGACTTCTTGGATTTGTTTTGCTTTTGTTCAGGAGTCTGGTGATCAAATGCCGCAGCTACAGACAGGCTCAATGGTGGAGTCATGAAATCAACCGGCTGTCCGACTCCAGCGACTTCCTCAAAGTTCAACGCTTCGAAGGGTTCGCTCCGCCGCGGGAGGACACGCTCACCAAATGGTCAGATACTTATTCTACCTGAGAACTATAACCATCTTGTCTTCAGACCTCACCTCATCCTCATTGTTCTTATCTGTAATGGTTTGTGTTTTTTATTTACAGGTTTGTGAATGGAAGCGGCTTCCTCTCAGACCTGGCTGACGCTCTGGAACAAGCCAAGGAGGAAATCTTCATCACAGATTGGTGGTAAGTGTCAGAAAGATCTGGATTTAGAGAAGAAGCATTTACAGAATTGACCATTTTAATACATCATTTGAAAGATTTTGCATTTAAAGAATAAAGCTTAAATTCAGGAGTTGAAGTTTAAATATCAAGAATAAAGTTCAAATAATGAGAATAATAGTTAGAGTATTGAATATAAAGAATGTAATGGACATTTTGGGGATAAAGTTGACATTTTAAGAATAATTAAAAAATATTAAAAATGAGGTTAATATGTATAATACTGAATAATAAAAATTTCCAGAAAGAAAAGAAAATATTTTATTATTTTCCACATAACAACATTTTATTTGTACCTTATTCCAAACATTCCCACTTTTACTAATTGTCTAAATTTCAACTTTACTCTCAAAATGCAAAATACAATAAAAAAATATACAAACAAGATGTCGAGAATAAAGTGAATTTTTTTGGATAAAGACTACATTTAAAATATGGAAATTCAAGAAAACAATCTCAAAGACTTAATCATGTTTATACACTAAGTAGACAAATTCTCTACATTACAAAATGTTTGTTAAACCTTATTCTCAAAATGCAGAATAAGAACCTTCCTCCTACCTTTTGCAATTTAAGAATATAATGATTAGTATAAAGTTTAAAAGTTAAAATATTGAAAATCAAGTTGAAATGTTGGTATATATAAAAGTCTACTTTATGAGTGTCTCTGTTCTCATCCAAATCTTCTCGTCCGTATAACGTGAATGTCTCCTCTGTCAGGCTCAGCCCTGAGGTCTTCCTAAAGAGACCGGCTACTGATAACTTCTGGCGCCTCGATGAGATCCTCAAACGCAAAGCAGTACGGTTTCTCTCTTTCTTCCCTGTTATACCATTTAAATGATCTTCCAATTTCCCTCTATCGTATATATTCTTATATTTGTTCAACCTTTCCTGCAGGAACAAGGAGTCGAAGTGTGTGTTCTGATGTACAAGGAGGTGGAGATGGCACTGGGCATTAACAGTGAGCACAGCAAAAGGACTCTCATGAATATGCATCCGAACATCAAGGTCAGTCACATCTTCACATCATGTCAAACACACAATAAACCCATCAGAGACTCTTCCTCCCTCACCGCATCCAAAAAATCACTCAAGACCCCCCCCCCCCCCCCCCCTCTTTTCTGTTTTTGTTTGTCTCTTTATGTATTTTTCATCGTTTCTGTCAAAGCGTCTTTGAGTATTTAGAAAAGCGCTATAAGTGTCATGTATTATTATCCAGAGGCCTCATCTCATGTTTTGACATACATTTGAACCCCTATTTCCCTTCAGGTAATGCGACATCCTGACCATGTGTCGTCCGTGGTGTTCCTGTGGGCTCACCATGAAAAGATGGTGGCCATTGACCAAACTGTGGCCTTTGTGGGGGGGATCGACCTGGCGTTTGGGCGGTGGGACGACAGCCTGTACCGACTCACTGACCTGGGGTTGAGAGAGACGTCTGACACCGTAACAGGAGAGGAGACCGACGGAGATACAGGGGTGAGAAGTTCTTTTTATCAGCTTGTTGTCACCAGAGGTGGGAAGTAGTGGAGTACAAATACTTCGTTACTGTACCTAAGTAAATGTTTTCTGGTATCAGTGCTTTACTCCACTACTAATTTTTCTGACTACTTTTTACTTTGACTTCTTACATTTTGAACACAAATACCTGTACTTTCTACTTCTTACATTTTGAACACAAATACCTGTACTTTCTACTTCTTACATTTTCCAAACAGGCTGGTTCCTTTAGTTTGAATGTGTGTTTGGTGGCGTGATCATTATTATTTAGAGTCATTGCGTGCCTATTGATTTGAACACGATCCGTGTATCCATCACTTCCTGGTCTTCTCTAAAGAAGAGGGACCAATGAAAACGTTGTCATGTTGCCGTTGTTCAGCATGGAATCATTCATTAGCTAACAATGACATTATTGTTCTATTAATATAAAGGGAGGTCAGGTACTCTTTAAAACATCTGCTAGTTATGGGTACTTTTTACTTAAGTACATTTCAAAGCCCATACTTCTTTACTTTCACTTGAGTAAAGAAGTTTAGTCAGTACTTCTACTTTTACCAGGGTATTTTTAAACACGAGTATCTGTACTTCTACTTGAGTAAAGGATGTGTGTACTTTTTCCATCTCTGGTTGTCACTGAGTATTTCATTAGACCATGTGCTCTCCAGATGTCTCACTCCCTGCAGACACTAACACATGTTTCTCTCACCAGGACAATGGTGTGTCAAAACCATCTGAACCAGAAGTGGAGCAGAACCTCGACGATCTGACGGGAAACACTAAGCTGTGGATCGGCAAAGACTACAACAACTTTATCAAGAAAGACTGGGTGCAACTGGACAAACCGTTTGAAGGTATGCTGTGTACAACTCTCTCAAGCACACACACTGAGAGGCTCGGACAACAGGGAGCTGAAATGATTGCTTCTTCTATATATATTTCTTTCAGATAACATCGACCGCACTCAAGTTCCCCGCATGCCGTGGCGTGATCTGTCTGCAGCTGTTCATGGCCAAGCTGCAAGGGATGTAGCCCGTCACTTCATCCAGCGCTGGAACTTCACCAAGGTCTTTAAAGCTACTTGTGTTTGATTGTCATATGTTTGGCCTTGATCATCCACACCTTTGAGGACTGAGCTCCTGACCTGGGGCGACAGGGCCTTCGCTGCTTTATTATTAATATTGCTGTACACATAAATATTGCAAACATCCTCTTACATTTTGTATTCGTGCTCTGCTTTACAAATGAGCCTACAAAAGCGTACAGATGGCTTTACTGCCGATCATCTTACTATCATTTGGTGGTGAAAGCAAAGTTTCAAAACGTTTATTTGAAGCCATCGTATAGAAGCTTCAGCAAACTTTTTTATAAGATAGTTTCCAAAATTCACAACTTGTTTCTATTACATCTTTCTTATTTCAATAAATGTGGACTTTTGGAAAGTTGGATCACACGAGTCCTATTCAGCCACTACTTTTATTATAATATTAATTATATAAGTGTAGTTTATTCTTTATCTGACAATTGACCCAAAAAGTCGATGTCAGACTTGTGTTGCCATCGCCCCATTGAGATTTCTCTTCTATGTTATGCTATGCTAATCTTTTGTTGTATAAGCCACAACTTCAAAATAATAACTCGGATAGTAAATCGTAAAATGTACTTTACCTAACTCTTTAGGAAAGCTTCTGTAGTAAACAGGACCAGTTGAATTCTCAAACTCATTCATGTGTTTTGCCTCCTCCAGATCTTCAAAAACAAGTACAAGGACGAATTCTACCCTTACCTCCTTCCCAAGTCTCACTGCACCGCTGACTCACCCTCGTTCACCGTACCCGGATCCAAGAAGGCCAAAGTGCAGGTATTAATGCACCACAGCTCACTATCTGAGCAAATATATAGAGGTCTAATAGGACTTTTTGATTAGCCACATGTACTGAACAAATATAATACAAAGTGAAGGACCATTGATCCACATGACTTGAACACAAACAGCAGTCAGTGACGGTGACCTGAAGGAACATCTAGTGTGGTATCCAGGGGCGTTGCCTGGACCTGAAAACATTCGGGGCTTAGCCCACAGTGGCGGTGGCACTACAGTGGCATTTTTTACATACACAGTACACCCGCGACTGTTACAATGAAGGCTCGATAATCAGCTCACGGCATATAGGCAGGGGTAAAGTGGTATTTTTTATGAGTGGTCCGGGGGGATGCTCCCCCGGGAAGATTTTTTTTTAAATATTGAAGTTAAATGCATCAATCTGGTGCACTTTGAGAGCAAAATGAAGAGATCTATGGATACCTCTCTCAACACCCATATGAAGCAGAACTGTAAACAGATGTACTTTTTCTTTAAGGATATTTTACTAATCACTCACCTTTTAAACTCTATTCTTGTTTTACTGCCATATAGTATTTCATAACTGTTTTTCCTTTATTCTCTTTTTTTATAACTATAATGATCATATGAAGGTGTGCCGCGGAAATAATCTTTTGAATAATTTGTGACCAAACCGTTTGAGACCCACTGAGATAACTTAGACTAAAGTTATGTATCTAAACACTCAGAGAGTCCTTTAGCTCACCTGAGTCTCTCAGTCTGTGAGGAGAGGACTCTCCTCCAGCTTGTTGTGGAACAAACAGCTCCTTATGTCCGTTAGTGCAGCTAGCTAACCAGATGCTAACAACACGGTCCATGCTGACAGTCACCGGTCCCTCTCTCCCTCTCTCTCTCTCTATCACACTAAATGCGCTATTGCCACACACACACACAGAGCCGAGCTTGAATGACACAAGCACACGTTTATTTCCATGCAACTCTCTGATTGGTCTGGTGTCATGCCTCTGTTGCATTCACCGAACACGGGAAATTACAGTGCTGCCGTCCTCTCTTGTGTCATGATGAGGTTCACGTAAAGCACGGTTAATGTATTATATTATTGAGGGAGAATTGTCCGGGGCTACAGAAAAAACATTCGGGGCTAAAGCCCCGGATGCCCAGGCCAGGCGACGCCACTGGTGGTATCTTATCAAAGTGATTTTTTTTTTCTCCTCATAACTCACTGCCATATTCAGTTGTTGGAATAATGTAGTGCTTTTCAGCCTTGACACATACATACAGTCTCTTTGACAAAGACTGTTTCCACGAGATGTTAGTGTTACAGGTCCACCCACGGTTAGTAGAGAGAAAGTGAAAAGTCTTTTACACACAAACTGATGACACAGAAAACTACCATAATGTTTAATGTAAGGCTTAAAGAGGTCATTTAAGTCTCATCTTCAGGTTCATATCTGTATTTAGTGTCTCTACTTTAAAGAGTCCTCTCCTGCTGATGTTCAGGTGTATATCAGTATGGAGTGTCTCTACTTTAAAGAGTCCTCTCCTGCTGATGTTCAGGTGCATATCAGTATGTAGTGTCTCTACTTTAAAGAGTCCTCTCTTGCTGATGTTCAGGTGTATATCAGTATGTAGTGTCTCTACTTTAAAGAGTCCTCTCCTGCTGATGTTCAAGTGTACAGTATATCAGTATGTAGTGTCTCTACTTTAAAGAGTCCTCTCTTGCTGATGTTCAGGTGTATATCAGTATGTAGTGTCTCTACTTTAAAGAGTCCTCTCCTGCTGATGTTCAAGTGTACAGTATATCAGTATGTAGTGTCTCTACTTTAAAGAGTCCTCTCCTGCTGATGTTCAGGTGTATATCAGTATGTAGTGTCTCTACTTTAAAGAGTCCTCTCCTGCTGATGTTCAGGTGTATATCAGTATGGAGTGTCTCTACTTTAAAGAGTCCTCTCCTGCTGATGTTCAGGTGCATATCAGTATGTAGTGTCTCTACTTTAAAGAGTCCTCTCCTGCTGATGTTCAGGTGTATATCAGTATGTAGTGTCTCTACTTTAAAGAGTCCTCTCTTGCTGATGTTCAGGTGTATATCAGTATGTAGTGTCTCTACTTTAAAGAGTCCTCTCCTGCTGATGTTCAGCTGTACAGTATATCAGTATGTAGTGTCTCTACTTTAAAGAGTCCTCTCCTGCTGATGTTCAGGTGTATATCAGTATGTAGTGTCTCTACTTTAAAGAGTCCTCTCCTGCTGATGTTCAGGTGTACAGTATATCAGTATGTAGTGTCTCTACTTTAAAGAGTCCTCTCCTGCTGATGTTCAGGTACATATCAGTATGTTGTGTCTCTACTTTAAAGAGTCCTCTCCTGCTGATGTTCAGGTACATATCAGTATGTTGTGTCTCTACTTTAAAGAGTCCTCTCCTGCTGATGTTCAGGTACATATCAGTATGTTGTGTCTCTACTTTAAAGAGTCCTCTCCTGCTGATGTTCAGGTGTATATCAGTATGTAGTGTCTCTACTTTAAAGAGTCCTCTCCTGCTGATGTTCAGGTGTATATCAGTGTGTAGTGTCTCTACTTTAAAGAGTCCTCTCCTGCTGATGTGCAGGTGTATATCAGTGTGTAGTGTCTCTACTGGGACATATCTCCATGCTTTAATGTTCAAAAAGCTCTTTATTTTCCTCATACTGCCTGGGCTGCAGCACCTCTTTTCACCCTCTGTCTGAAACCAGAGCCCAGTCTGCTCTGATTGGTTAGCTGGCCGGCTCTGTTGTGATTGGACAACCGCTTAGTAATGTCCCGCCCCTTAGCCTATCACGTACTATGTGTTGGAGCGCTAGCCAATAGAAGTACGAGTGTTAACATAGAGATGTCCTTATGTCACAGAAGTAAACAAAAGGGGATTCAATGAAAACGAAAAACACCTCAAAGCACACGTTTCATAAAAGAAAGCTCCTGCTGGTAATTTCCCATGTTTTGGAAAGTTGGTGAACTGTATTTACTGTAAACAAACAACACCATTGCCTAGTCCCATACTTGTTTCCACTGTGTGTTTCTACACTGCACGACTCTCAGTCCGAACGAGAAGGAAATCACATGGATGGCTTGACAGTGCAACAATGAGACACTGTTCTGGGTTTGAAGTGCAGATTACAAGTATTCAGAGTTGTCTTTGCGATGGCAGATGGGGGAACAAGAGGAAGAAAATCACTTCCAACATGTTTGTCCTGTTAAGTAAAGCCAGAGAAAACAAATGCACTGCCAAACACAGGGTGGAGGAATCTCATTTGCAACAGGCTTCATGGGAACTGGGGTCGTGATTATGAGAAACGCAACAAAACTGACACGACAGAGGCTTTCACTCTCACTCTGTGCTATTGTTTAGAAGTGTTTAGAAGTGTTTAGAAAGAGAGTATAGGGTAACAATAGCTTTTGCTGTGTGTACTTTCTTCTATTGTGGGCGCTGGCCTGTAATCTAATCCTCGCCTCTTATAATGCTGTGACTTCAGGTTTTCCTGATCCCTTGTTCAGGTTGCAGGGACACTTCCTCAGCTGTTGCCACAATCTTTGTTATAGCTGTAGAGTGTCACATACTGTATGTAAAAACAATAGTTAATGCAAGAAGAGTATGTCACTGTCTGAATACAAAACTGATTTAAAACAAGAAAAAAATCTATTAAAGAAATGTATTCAGTATCTATATTTAGTGGTAATAACTTAAAGGGGACACATTATGAATAACTCACTTTGTCAGAGCGTATGCATATTACTAACAGGATTACTGTGTTACTAAAAAGAGCATATAGTGTTTGTTGTTAAAGTAGCAGATTTGATTTATTCTCTGTAAGCTGTACTGTTCTGTAGGCTAATACTTTAAGTGTGAATCTATACGCCTACTGCTTGAATCTGCTTTATGGTTTTCACTTCCTTTGGTTCATTTGTACTAAGTAGGTGAATCTATATGTTTAGAAAATAGTGTCATTAGCGTAACTGTATTTTTAAACTAACATTTTCTGCTTGCTCAGATTTTATTTCTGCTTTTTTTTAACCGTAGTATGTGCTCATGTGTTTCATTGTTGGTGTGTAGGCTACTGCCTGAATATGATTAATGAAAGGCAGGTTTCCTATCAATACCATTTCTGAGCAGAGGACACTTTTTTAATCCTAAATATCTTGGTTTCTTCTTTTCTAAGGGTTACATTTTACTGCCTTAATTAATACACGTAAATTGAAAAAACTTGATTGCTAAAGTTAATTTAGTCACAGGAGAACATGAGTGTGAAAAGAAGATTTAGTTGCTAATCAAAGATTGTATATACTTTAGTAAGTAGATTGATATGTTCGAGTGTTAAACCCCTTTAAAAAATACAAAAGAACATGTGCCATGGACTTATTATTATTATTTTTTCTCCAGGTGTTGCGCTCTGCAGACCGGTGGTCTACTGGAATCTGTGAGAACTCGATCCTGAACGCCTACATCCACACCATCGAGAACAGCGAGCACTACATCTACATCGAGGTAATGCAGAGTGCTTCGGCCAATATGTACCTTATATAATGATAATGTCAATCTATACTTTCATTGATTTTTACACAATTTAAACCTCTAATTCTGATGTTTCAGCATGTGATTCCTTTTTACTTTTATACCATTTCACCCCTTAACTTCACATATCCCTGAGAGATTTCTTCAGCCAACATGTGTCTAACCACGAGGTCTCATGTTTCTGAATATAACCACAGACCCGTCCTCTGCCAGCTTCCTACCTGTTTTATCCCTCCTCTCACACCGAGCCACCATCTGTCTCCTCTCTGTCCTCAGAACCAGTTCTTCATCAGCTGTGCCGACGGGAAGACCGTCCACAACGGGATCGGGGATGCAATTGTGAAACGAATCCTGCGTGCATACAGGTCTGGTTTGAGTGCATCGACAAGATTTATGTTCATTCATTTTGCATAGATGCTACATCACTGCCTGGTGAAATACGGCCCTGCACCCTTTCCTGGGAAAACAAAGAATTGGCACCAAGCAGAAAAATATAAGAGTTGTTTAATGCTGTAGTTCATCACTGTGTGGCACATTTCTGATACCTTGTATACTACTGAGTGGATTAGTAGTATATATATATATCATATAAAAGCACATTTCATAAAGGTGCGAAGTACCTAGTAACTACAACAGTCATTTAAATGTAGTGGAGTAAAAATACAATATGTAGATGCTGCATTGAAATATAAAACACTGACAAGGAAATGCCAGTTTTAAGTGTTACCCCTAATTTCCACCGGGTCCGCCTGCGTCGCGTTACGGCTGCGCCGCGGCGTTCGCAAAGTTCGCGGCCACTCTAGTCAATGGGTGCTATTCCACCACACACGGCGCGTTACGGCTCAGAAGCGTCCCAGAAGCGTCCCAGAAGCGTCCCAGAAGCGTCCCAGAATATATATATACACACACGCAAACTAATTTTGCAGACCCTATCCCTCCGTAGTCTTTCAAGTAGGAGGAGAAATGCCAGCGTTCTCCTCCGGTTTACAGGCACTGTGTAAATTATATATATAGAATAGTTATGATGATGAATGCATTTTTTTACCACTAAAATACAGCAACACATCTTTGATTTATGTCGTTTATAACTGGAATATTACAGTTATTATTAACTTTGTCTGTACAAAGTAAGTAGCCTGTCCAGGAAATATGCCCAAATCAACAAAAACTGCGAGCCTGCATGCACGACGCTCCGCTTCTGAAACGCTTCAGGAACCCGCCCGGTGGGTTATGACGCTAGAGGAGGTCGGACCAATACCGCGGCGCAGCCGTAACGCCACGCAGACGGACCCGGTGGAAACTAAGGGTTAGCCTGCTGCCTGACAGGACATTGATCCTCTATATAGCTTTTAATTTCGCCTTATAGCTGTCAATTATTGAAACAGAGATATGATTGTGATGAAACTTGTATTGATGTTTAAATAGTACCATTACTTGTTGGCATTGTGCTTCTGTACAGTGAGCAGAAGAAGTACAGAGTGTTTGTTGTGGTTCCTCTGCTTCCTGGATTCGAGGGAGACATTGCGTCAGGAACCGGAGTTGCGATTCGAGCGATTCTTCACTTCACTTACAGGTGAGATCCTTCATCTCCTGTCACCAGGCTGCCATTACAGGCCAGAACAAACACTACAACTTACATTAAGAACCAACTTGCTATTGTTTGTGTTAATTAACATCTTTTAAATAACTAATGTCCTAGGACCATGTGCCGAGGAGAGCACTCCATACTGTCAAGACTTAGTGAAGGTGAGTTTTCTCTCACTCATTTGCTCTCATTAACAACCAGATATCACGAAATGACCGCCGGTTTCCTCTCTAACATGTTTCTTTCTTTCTCTTCGTGTTGCTACTTTAAACTGAAGCTACTTTTACTAGGTATCTTCTCACCAATCTCCATTTTTACCCTTCTTCCTGTCATTCACCTTAAGAATACTGTATGTGTATGTTTCTTGATACATCTTTACGGTATTTTTCTTTGTCTCCCAATAACAGTGATGGACCAGTGGACGGAGTACATCTCGTTCTGCGGCCTGAGAACACACTCTCAGCTCTGCGAGTCTCTCGTCACGGAGCTCATCTACGTTCACAGCAAGTTCCTCATAGCCGATGACCGCTGCTACATCATCGGTGAGTCATCAGCCTGGCACAAACTCATCCAAAGACACATTATCATTCTAACCTTGAGTTGTCAGTGAGCTATGAAAACTACAGTGTGTTTACATCTATGTGTTTTAGCTATAGTTCAAAATAATCTTTAATCACTGACAAATATTTGTGGTAAAATGACAAACATTCATGGAGACAAATATATACTTGTACTTTACTTGAGCGTTTCCATTTTCTGCTACTTTGTACTTCTGCTCCACTACAATTCAGAGGTAAATCATGAACTACTCCACTACATTTATTTAATACCTTTAGTTACTTTACAGATTTGTATTAAAGTGCACCTATCATGCTATTTTTAGGCAATAGCATAGGTCTCAGATATATACAAATATATAAAAAACATGTCTATGAAGTGTTTTGCTCAAAATACCAAACAGATCACCCATTCTAGCCATGCCTCATATCCCTCTATTTCACTTCCTGTTTCAAAAGTGCTGATTTGGGGTAAAAAGCTTTAAAAAATTAAAAAATTGATTTAAAAAAAAAAAGGAGGGGGTTGAGCTCATGCGGGACTTGGCAGCTACTGTCTAAACTAAATACTGCCGTGATGAAACGCCATATCATGGATTATCAAGGATTATTTCTGAAACAGTATGGAGCTCAAAGGCTTTCTCTCTTGCCGGTTATACCACAAGGTGAGTTCCTTTTTATTTCCTGCTTCTTCACACACATGCTCTCCAGTACAGGTTAGCTCTGAGTGTTAGCGATGCTAATGTGAACATGCACCGACCATATTACGTCCAAAACATTCGGGCATTGTTTCTGATAGCAACGTTTCTGATTGGGCCGTGGGTGTAAAGCCAGCCTACATTTCAGATATTACGTCATATCGGACGCAAATCTGGATCAGCTCTGTTGTAGCCCCGTTTTTAGAGATTTGGGTACGGAGGAAAAGAGAGAGGGTTTTATTTTCTGAGGGTTTTATTTTCTGACGCTGCGTGAGTTCCCTGACACACCGGGGACACATATTTATGTATAAAAGTGCATTTTGCATGATAGGTCCCCTTTAAAGATGTGAAATA